ATGGATGTTGAATTAGAAAAATTGAAAGTCTTCATAGAGTCTCCTAACTAATAAGTAGCACAAATCCTAAAGCAGGGGAGGTAATGTAGTAATATGGAGGGAAATAATTTGTGCTTTGAAACATCTATGTAAAATAAAATTAGGGTTTTGGTTAATTATTTTTCATTGTCAAAATATTAGCTATGGTATAAGTTAATTCTGAAACGCAAATTAAAGTTGGTTAGGAATATTGTGACAATAACAAGACATGGGGTCTAAAGACAAGAATGTGGAAATATGATGGCTGGAACAATAGCGTTATCTTTCATATTATTGATTCTAACTTCATAACCACAAATATAGAAAGTATATGCTGGTTATTTTGATACGTTAACTAAGCTATAGATTAATGAACATGTTGGTCATTAACATTTTTCTTTGTTATAAAACATATATCATATTTGTTGACTAAATTAGGAAACAATCCCTGTCGATATACAGGGTTGGGGTTAATGTCCATTCCATATTTGGAATTTAGCTGTTATCAGTTGTTTACGTAAATAACAGAGACAAAAGAATAAACAGAAACAAAAGAATATGCACCTATATAAGGGAGCGGGGCTAGAATAATTCAGGGAGATCATGTGGATTCTTTAGACGACTATTTCATGCGGTAGTGTTTTTCTGGGTCTAGCCATGCTGGCTAGATTTTTACAGGACTGGGGTTGGAGAGAAAGAGATGTTAATATTGTAATGTAGACTACTGTGTAACTGTTGTGACATAAAATGTTTAGCAAAAACACTATCGTTGTTCCTGTTACTTATTTGAGTCGGTATCGTGAGAAAACACAATGGTGAAGTCCTTTAAGAAGAAAGATACAACAGTAGCAGTCCAGAGCCAACCAATCCCCAATTAGACGATCAGGCCAAAAACTAAGATGTGTAGTTGGATAGTACTACAAACTACCCCTTTGTTTGGGTCATACTGGAGTTATGTCCCCTTATTGACGTCGCTCTGTTATGTATGTAACTTAGGCCCCCGCCAGACCATGGTGGCGTTCTTACTGCTCTGCTGTGACCACACGGCGACCAGAAAATGCACGAGGTCGCTGGCAAATGTTAAAACAACGCAAGAAAAATGTCCAAAAAAATTACAAAATAGAAACAAGTCGCGATCTCGCAGCTTTCCGGGTCAGATCGCAGAACCTTTGTTGTTTGTTTTGAACATGTTCAAACAAAAGCCGTGACTCGGTGATCATTTTCGACCATGGAGAGCACAGCATGATATCTGGCGTTTCCACCACGCTTTTACCACGCTTATGGCGATCTTGACGCGCTCTGGGCCCATTTTCCGTTTCCTTAGCAGCGTAGTAAGGACGCCACCTCTGTCTAAGTATAAGTGACGTTATTGTCTTTTGTAGATAGCCTGAAGACGCCATGAGGCCGAAAGATCTTGGCAAATATATAAATGTAATTAAAATATAGATTTTTCCATCCAAATCTTAGTATTTTGGGTATATATATATATATACTGAATCAAGTTATATACATTATTAATATCTGAAGACGCCGATAGAGGACAGACAGCTAGCTTATAAGATTTAATGTATGTCAGAATGAAGTAAAGTGGAGAATATTTTACCTGGAGTACTATGAGTTGTGTGAGGCGAGGACATTCCAATATGCTAAATTATGCATAGCAGATAATGGATTATGTAAAACTACAACATAACTAAACAAATGAAAACTTCCCCTATACTTGCTATGCCTCGCATTGTGATTGTCACAAACACGGGATGTTCTCTCTCGAGTTACGGGGGGTTGGATGGCTGAATGGTTAGCGTGTGCACGCTGTATCATAAAGTCTGTCATTGAGTCAACTGGCGTGGTTTCGAATCCCCGGTTGTACGTGGCAAGGAGTAGGGTCGCCTGTCCAACCTCGTGGGTTTTCTCCGGGTCCTCCGGTTTCCTCCCACTGCTAAAGACCCCTACGCGCATGCGAATTATTGAAATCAAATTAAACCATATGTTAGTCCCGAAATGACCTAGTTTGTGTCGAGTGGACGTTAAACTCCATTTCTCTCTCTCTCTCTCGAGTTACAAATCTGACTTGGTGAATCGATAATAAGTGTAAATTTATTGTATATATCGCATTTTCCAACATGCTGAGACGAAAAACCGAGGTCCCGTGTACACGTTGGCATGCACGTAAAAGTACCTTGACAGTTGGAATTCGGTATAATAATATGCCGTAGTACCGCTATCTGGGCAAAATGTACCCCCCAGACATACTGTATGACATATACCCGCCTTCATTAACCCAGTCGCAGCAGAACAGTGTGACAAACCTCAGGTTGTTTTCGGCCCATGGAGAAATATAATTTCTCTTAAGTTTTGACACAGATTTCAGTTTGTATATTTTAACAGGGATGAGAAATTATAGACAAGGAATTATCAATCTCACAAAAGGTGTCTAAAATTTTGGGATTCAATTTTGTAAGGCTCTGGTAGGTTTTTGTGCATTTAAAGGGATGTGGTTTAGCGTACGCGTGATTTTTACTGGAAAGGAAAACATTTGCTATGGCAGACCAGAATGAACTGTATTTGGGTCGTTCTTTGATTTATAAATCGTCATTTTAGTCTGGGCACAACCCTGACCCTTGGCCATTTCCATGGGAACAAGACTTGACGATGGTTTCTGATAGAAGGGGCCCTAGTTTAGAAATTTGTAGTTTGCTACCTCTGAAAACGACGAGCTGACTTCAGAAGTACAGAAAATCCAAGATGGAGGCCACAAATGATTTGAAATAGAGTTTGATAAACAGTGTTGGCAAAATGACCCGGTTGTATGTTACAGGTTTTGTTGGTCACCGGACTCATTTATGATAGTTCCCAATTCATCACACAAACGGTTGTTCCAATATGACGTCCTAAATGCAATATGGTGACAGCAACTGGCGCGAAATATTTTTTCAATACATAACAATATACACGCGTGATATGTCGTTTTAAAGGTTCTGGCTGACGCGGAACACGTATATGTCATTTCCTAGCGGATGGGGCTCCTGGGAAATGAAATGAAATGAAATGGGGTTAAAAGTCCTACTGTTCTGTTCCTAACCTGTGATAATGAAGCTGCCAAGGGATCTTTTACGTGAACGCCAATGTGTACACGGGACCTTGGTTTTTCGTACCATCCGAACGACTAGACAGCTGTCCTTGTCAGGCCCTCCGTCCTGCATCACTGACAAAGGGGAAACCACGCCGGAAAATCGGGATGAACTTTCTCGGCCAATGCAGGGATCGAAAACCCGACCTCCAGGCTAGCGAGCCAGCGTCTTACTCACTTAGCCACGTAATTCCCGGCTCCTGGGAATTAAACATTAAATTACAGGCATACACCGGTAATAATAAGACATTGGCTCGCTAGCCTGGAGGCCCACGTGTTGTCAGTGGTGCAGTGTTCGTACAAAATCGAGATACCGTGTACACATTGGCCTTTTATGTAGCACATTGTATGATGTATGCTCGTCTTCATTTAATCCCATTTCATTTCTTAAGCTGTTTTCCATAAGTATGTTATACAGTTTATAACAATTTTGACCTTTCAGTAATACATGGGGTCTTTAAATATGCGGGTGATTAATAGATGTATTGTAAAGATGAGTAAAATGTTATGAGATAAATTCACCAGGTTCATTGATTGTAACTTGAGATAGGTACGCATATCAAACGAACTATTTTTCATCATTTGTGTAAAATAAACACTCTCGTTAAATATTAATTTCTAATAGGCATTAATACACTTCAACCTTAAAATAATAAATAAGAAAACGGTCTAGCACCAGCAATCTAACTAAATCGTGACTTTTTTTGTTTTTGTTCCGTTATTTTGATGGTTATGCTAATAAAGTAAAAGATGCATAATGTAAGATTTAGATAAAGAGCAGGCCTGTTCATGCTATAATAGTTCAAATTAAAATAACTTTAAGCAAAGTTAAAACTGGTAATAACCGATTGTCAAGTACGTTTATCATGATAATAAACGATGTCTCGATCGCCAGGCCTTTTTTAACGACTTCCATTTTAAGTTATGGCCTTTTAAATAACAGTGTAGTCTCGATTGTAATTGCTACCGTTGTTAAGATAATAAACAGTCTCAATTATCAATTTTTTAAATTAATTTATTAACTGGTCCGTTGAAAATCAAAACAATCCGATAATCTAGAGAGTTGATTATGGGCTTGGCATTTGAATAAATGTCTAATTAATGATTTATATAAAATTTGAGGCAAAACGAAAGATCTGCATTAGGCATATTTTGCTCTTACATAAGGCATCTTTAAGTAAACAGAGTGATAAACTGCATTTATTAGCGGGAACAAAACAACAATATATAATAAATCTAACCCTAAAGCTGCCCTCTGATCGGTTCCTAATCCACATGCGTAATAAATATATAAGAAATAAGCAGGTTACGACTATCACTGTATATATGAAGTCGGCGAGACAAAAACATGGTAGGTCAAAGCTTATTAAAATGGGGTTTTATTTGGGATTCTAAATAGTATTTTCCACAAATATGTCATAGCTTTTGATACCAATTTTCGTCATACCAGCATCGGAATTGCAGCTATTTTGGCACATTCCATCTGTTGTGGTACATTTTCCTGCCAATGTTTATGTAGCACTATATTAGCCTATGCATTAGGGTCGAGGCTACTATATTTTAACTGGAGCTACAGTTCTGCAATGACACCATACTAATACAGTTAGAAAGAATGAAATATATACAACCATAACATTAATGAAACCACTTAACTGAGAATATTTGTAACATTTTGATTAAATTCATAATTAGTATATAAACAAAAACTATGGCATATGGTTCAATTTTATTTCAATAATTCGCTTGAGCGTAAGAATCTGTGGCAGTAAGAGAAACCCAACGAGGTTGGACTGGCGTCTAAAATCAGTGCGCAAAAATAACCAGTAATTATATTTAACAGAATATTGACCTGTATATTTCAAGTTTAATTACTAAATGCCACTGAAACAACGGTGGATATTGTATCTAGGTAATGTGTATATTATTAAAACCTGACTGAATCGTCTGGATCATCTGAACCATTGATCGCCTGAATGTAGGTGGTTGGACCACAAGGTGGGGGTGGTGGTGGTGGAGGTGGTAGAATGTATCCACCGTCTTCAGGTAACGTTTGGTAATCTGGATTACCAAGATCAGTTTGGTTTTCTCTCATTTGATTATCATCTATGTAATCGTAGGTTTCTTCTTCTTCTACTGGCCTGTCGTAACTTTGGTATTGTATGTTTGAAATCCGGCGGCCGTAACGCGGAGGTTGAAATATTTCTGGCTTCTTCCTGTAAAAAGATTAATAACAACACTGCAGTCCCCTTAAAATACAAACAGCCCATACCAACACCTACAAAATCCCTTAAACCACAGAAGAGGTACAAGGTATACGAGCAGAGAAGCAAAATCCCTTCATGGCACAAAACCCGAAATTGATAATAACCTTTGCTTAATATGTTAACCAAAATGCACGGGATTTTTCGTTATCTCTTAAAATGTAAATCCAAACAAGGTAATGCACGCGCTTCTTCAAGTTGTTATTGCTTTCTCTGATCTCATGACAATCAATTCTTTTTATGAATATTTCGTTTAGGACTGATATCCTTTCACGGTCTCATATAACAACTCGTCGTCTTCACATAAAATATCAGTGAGGTGCAAATCGACTGTGTTTCTGATATCGCTCTCTACTGCAAACAATAACGATAACTGTTTTCATTTTTATGCGCCACTTCCCGATTCTTCAAATCGTTGTTACAAATCAAACGTGACAAAGATCTCTTTGTTACAATTATATTGGGAATATGTTTAGCCAATTCTTTCATGTAATATTGGTAGACACCAACATTATCCTGTAAAACGACAATAAGTTTAAGCGAGTAGGAATAATGTCCTGCCATTAATCAGCCTTTTATTATACTAATTAACAAATATATTACTTTATAAATTTTGAAAATTTAAAAAGAAACATTTTCAAGTAACGCCCATTGTTTATTCTTTAAAAACGCCGTTAAATGTCAACATGCGTTACTTTGGTTTCCAATCAATTAAAGAAACGAAGTTTTCAAACGCTTATTATTACTACCATTATTATTATTATTATTATTATTATCATTTCATTTATATAGCGCTACAATACATATGAAAATATTCCTAAGCGCTTTACAAAAACATAAAACTAATCATAACACTGTTCGAAGAGATGAGTTTTCAATTTACGCTTAAATATATGATACGAATTTGATTGTCTAATGGTTACAGGAAGATTGTTCCTGAGCTTGTTAAATTTTAGGATATAAAGGCCTGTTCTGTTATCAAAGATGTAGCCCAAGTTACGCTATGCAAATATTAAACATAACAGGAGTTATACGGATTAATAAAATTATTACTACTTTGGATAGACAAAAGCAGTAGTGTAGACTTCAAACAAAAATGACCCTAAATAGACCGGGAGCCCAGGAGGTTAGCCTAGCTGAAAAGTGTACCAATTTTCGCATATATGGTATCAAAGTATGCATATCTGGTATCATCAAAATGTAAGTCTGCCGGGTATCTGGTGGTGGGTGTGGCTGTGAGGGCTTCGATACTGGGTATGAATTCTTGAGCTAGATTAGCTCAAAAGTGTACCACATGAAAATGGTACAGCAGTGTACCATACATCTTCAAGTATTACAAAAACACTCTGACAGACATTTCTAGTTGTGGGGTACCCCCGACAGAGTTATGTAATTGCCAGACCACAGCTAGGCTAGATTAGCTGAAATCTGTACCACTTAAAACTGCTTGGAAATTGTTCAGAATCACCACAGGAATCAAGAATGATCACTGCCAGACAATTTGTGCGGTGGGTTATCCCTAACAGAACAGACACACCCAATATACCACGCCTCCCAGCTAGTCTAGATTAGCTTAAATCCGTACCGCCTAAAACTGCTTGGAAGTCATTCAGCACCACAGGAATAATGAGTGATCATTGCCAGACAGTTTTAGGTGGGCTACCCCTAACGCACATGCCCAAAATGCCAGCCCCGCCCCTCCCCACCTAGGCTAGATAAGCTGAAGCCCGTACCACCTAAAACTGCCTGGAAGTTGTTCAGCCCCACAGGAATCATGAATCATCACTGCCAGGCAGTTTGTGCGGTGGGTTACCCCTAACACTAACAGACACGCCAAAAATGCCACGCCCCCAACTAGGCTAAACTAGCTGAAGCCCGTACTACCCAAAACTGCTTGGAAGTTGTTCAGCACCACCACATCAATCAAGAATGACCACAGCCAGACAGTTTGTGTGATGGGTTACCCTTGACAGACACACCCAAAATACCACGCCCACCCCGCCCCCCAACTAGGCTAGATTAGTTGAAGTCAATACGATCTACAATTAATTGGCTGCTATTCGGCAAAACCTCAGGAATCATGGATTACCACTGCCAGACCGATTGTGCGGTAGGGTAACCTTGACGACCGGCCAAATTGCCACGCCCCAAAACTAGGCTTAGCTGAAGTCGGTACCACCTAAAACTGGAGGTTATTCAGCGCCACCGCAGGAATCAAGAATGACCACTACAAGACAGTTTGATCGTAGGGTACCAATGACAAAAAGCTCAAAATGTCACGCCCCGCAACAAGGCTACATAAGCTGAAGGATGATGCCACTCTGGGGAAATGTTAATATTCAAGATGGTCGTCATGAGACATTTTCTGGTTATTTACTTTAATTTAGTGGGGTAAAATTCGGGAGAGATTCTCTCGAACCTTGGTATGATGGTAGTTTCTATAAGAATTTGACCCATTGAATCTGACGAGCTTGGGTGTTCCTCCTAAAAGTGACTGCTAATTCCAGTAGGAAGCCAAATTCACAATGGGGGCTCAGTTTTGAAGGAAACTCATAATGTTCCCTAAAACAGCTTGTAATTTATTGAAATATAGGTTTTCGTTGTCAATTACTTCAAATATAAACATAAAAAACACGTTTCGACCAAAACGTATTCCAATCCGATGATATTCTGTCCCCTGTATTCTTTGATGTTGGCGTACCATTATTTCAAATAATCGTACGGGCAACTTGCCAATCGTACCTTGTCAAATATTAGACTCGGGTGACGTATTTCACTGTAAACGCACGTGCGGAGTGTCTGTATTTTAAGATGTTTAATGGTCTCGAGTTGACGGTCCTCTTGTTGTTACAATATATAACTTAATGTCTCGCTCTCGACCATTAAACAATACATAATGTATGCTTGACAATTCGCTCTATGAATCCGGCGAATCAGAAAACTTATAGTTTAAAACATTACTAACATCGTTATGTCTCGCGAAAATTGGCCACCACTTTGAATATGACCTCAACCTGGAATACCTTTTGGTCGGAATATGTTTTTATGTTTATATCTGAAGTAACTGACACTGAAACCCTATATTTTAATATACTGCACACCTTTGTTGGGGGACGATATGGGTTTCCCTCCAAAATAAGCCTCCATTTTGAACTTGGCCCCCTAGTGGAATAGCAAAACTCATTGGATTCAGCGGCTCAAATTACGATAGAAACCAGCTTCATACCGAGGTCCGAGAGAATCTGTCCTGACTTTTACCCAACTAAATTAAAGTAAATAACCAGAAAATGTCTCATGTCGGCCATCTTGAATATTTAAATTTTCCGAAGGGGGCCAGTGTGGCATTACCCAGATTCTGAATCTACACATATTAAAGACATATAATCCACGCAAAAAACCTATGGTTCGTATGTCAGTGGTCACTGAGTTGAACCACTACTTATTATTCTTTATACGATTACTTAATCTTTAATAGATATTACATACCCATGAAAATATGTAATACCTAGAATTCTCAATATGCCTGACCCAGATTTTTGGGAGGGGGGCTGTCGTGTCTCTTGGGAGAACCCCACCAAACAAACTCTCTAGCAATGGGCAGTGTGATCCCTGGGGTGCTGAACAATTTCCAAGCAGTTTTAAGTGGTACACACTTCAGCCACTCTAGCCTAATTGCGAGGCGTGTCATTTTGTGCATGTCTGTTAGGGGTTACCCACCGTACAATCTGTTTGGCAGTGATCATTCATGATTCCTTTGGTGGTGCTGAACAACACCAAAGCAGTTACAAGTGGTACATATTTCAGCTAATCTAGCCTAGTTGCGGGGTGGGGCATTTTGGGTTTCTTTCAGGGGTACCCCACCGCAATATCTGTCTGGCAGTAGTAATTCATGATCCCTGTGGTGGTGCTGAACAACTTCCAAGCACTTTTAGGTGGTACGGACTTCAGCTAATCTAGTCTAGTTGGGGGGGGGGGGGGTGGCGTGGTATTTTCGTCGTGTCTGTCGGAGTAACCCACCGCACAAATTGTCTGGCAGTGATCATTCTTGATTCCTCTGGTGATGCTGAACAACTTAAAAGCAGTTTTAAGTGGTACAGATTTCAGCTAATCTAGCCTAGCTGTGGTCTGGCAATTACATAACTCTGTCGGGGGTACCCCACCACTAGAAATGTCTGTCAGAGTGTTTTTGTAATACCTGAAGATGTACGGTACACTGCTGTGCCATTTTCATGCGGTACACTTTTTAGCTAATCTAGCTCAAGAATCCATACCCAGTATCGAAGCCCCCACAGCCACACCCACCACCAGATACCCGGCAGACTTACATTTTGATGATACCAGATATGCATGCTTTGATACCATATAATTGGTACAATTTTCAGCTAGGTTGACCCCCTGGGCTCCTGCTCTAAAATGAAATGACCTTTAACGCCTCTCTAGTAGGTCTGGGATGTACGTAAAGCCCAAAAGAATAAGCCCAGTACGCAGATACTAATGACGTATTACGTAATTATTCGCGCGAGGTTTTTTGGTATGTTTTTGATGTTGCCAAACGCGCTGGTCTAGTTCCAATTGAAATTTATAATTTTGGTAGGACACAATTTGGTATGTAAACTAAATTTATGTAAAAAAGTAGATAAAACACCCCTCTTTAATGTGGCTAAACTTTCCTTCCAACTAAGTCATATATTGAGGTGTATTTGTAAATTTATTAGAATGTTATTTACTTGCTGCCCACGTGTTGCAAATTGGCAGCCATAGCCCCATGCCATATAGCATGAAATGATTAAGTTTTGATGTGTGTCATTTCATATGAAAACGTATTTGTATTGATGTAAATGTAAGCATGATTTCTGTCTAAGCTGTGGAGTTTAATTCACGTATGTCTTGTTAGAAATCTATTATTTGACAGTATGCAGAAAAGGCCTAAATCTTAGGGACAGAGTCTAGTCCACGACAGATTAAGTTTACATTTTTAGATGTTGGGGTGTGTTCTTATGGTTGTCTGTTGTCTCGTTGCAGCTAATGTTATCACTTGTGTGAGTTTTCCCATACATCAAGCGATATTGAAATGAAGTTATAATGGCATAATTAATTTAGAAGAATGTCTTTGCTGATGTGATGTTAAAATGCTGTTAGTCTGAATCTGCAGTTCAGATCTATGTCTGTTATGAGATTGATGTCCTGAAGTATTATTGTCATTAAACATTGTCATCGAAGAATATTGTTCTGATGTTTGGAAAATTATTCAGCAAACCTACCGCAATTCTAGCAGCCGCAAGTATGTCTAGTTAGCAGCAGCTACAAGTAGATTTTGATAAAACTGTACTTACTTGTTCTTGTAACAGATGAAGGCTACCACACCTATTAGTATTAATACTGCTATGGGTATACAAGTAGCATATATCAAAATATTATCTGAAATAACAAAAGATTTATAATAATTTTAAAGTAAACAAATCTAGTCTCTGATCGTCCTCAATTTCATTAGCCCAGTCATAACAGAAAAGCAGAACGTTAAACCCCATTTCATTTCATTTCCTTTCCCTTGTTAACCTAAAGTGTGCTACTGTGCGGCGTATGACTCTCTTCGTTAGGACGTTAAACCCCATTTCATTTCTCTGGTCGTCTTTTGATATTAGCGGAGGTTATTGGTGACGGTGGCTTGTTTTGGTCATACCATGTTGGGGGGGGGGGGGTGATGGCCGAGTGCTTAGCACGTGCGTGCTGTATCATACGGCCTGTCATTGAGTCAGTTGGCGTGGGTTCGAATCCCCGGTTGTACATGACAAGGTGTGGGGTCGCCTGTCCAATCTCGTGGGTTTTCTCCGGGTCCTCCGTTTCCCCCCCACTGCTAAAGACCCCTACGTGCAATGAATTATTGAAATAAAATTAAACCATATGTTAGTCCCGAAATGACCTAGTTTGTGTCGAGTGGACGTTAAACCCCATTTCTCTCCCTCTCTATCTCTCTCTCTCTCTCTCTCTCTGTCTATCCCTCTCTCTCTCTCATATCTTTGAACGGAAGTAAACCATTTTTGTACCGATATCCCTTTTACAGATTCAATTTTTACAAGACACCCAGTGACTTTACATGTGCACGAGCCGTTTTTAACCTGGGAAACTTGAGTTTAACGTCCACTCGACACAAACTGGGTAATTTTGGGAGTAAGTTATGGTTCAATTTTATTCGTCCCACCCGAATTAATAGACGCTGTCTTTGCTAGGGCCAGCGTCTTGCACGGCTGACAAGGGGGAACTAATGGTGCAGGAGGGAGTACCGGAAAGGGACAGCGTCTAGTCGTTCGGATGGGAAGAAAACAGAGGTCCCGTGTAAATTTTGGCATGCACGTAAAATTTCCTTCCTGCCACAAGGCATGGCGTGTGTCTGTCTCCATTATCCCAGTTGGACGTTAAACTCCATTTCATATCATTTTGATATATTGGGTGGTTAAATGATTTAATAGAGTACCTGTAACAGGATTAAACGTCTCTTTTGTCGTCCCGGGGTTGCCTGGTTGTGTTGTAGGTGACGATCGAACAGGACTCGTCGAATTGGTTATTATATTACTTGGTAATGTCGTAGGACTGTCTGGTGATATAGTACCGCAACTTGCTTGAAAAGATAAACAACATTAAAATAACCTGATAATAACCAAATGCGTTAACGCCATTACAGTTTGAGAATATTTAGAGTTTTGAACGTACGGTTTATAACACAGGCGCCTGTAACGTGGAAATTATTTTAAAAAAACATTAAGCTATGACTAAGTATAATGTCTAAAGTCTGTTATATCCATGTTCCTAAGCGAGATTATCAAATAACTGACACGTAAAAGATCCCTTGGCAGTTGGAATTCGATGTAAGAGTAGGCGATAGTGCCGCAGCCCGGGCAAAATTTCCCTCATAGTACACTGTATGGCGTATGCCCGTCTTCATTAGCCCAGCATAGGAGCAGAACAGTAGGACGTTAAACCCCATTTCAGTTCATTTCAAATAACTGGTCTGATTCCGATTTCTAACTCCGGGGCAAATAACTCGTCTGAAACCGATTCTCTTTCAGCAGATATAATAATACCAAGGTGAGAAACAGATTGGATTAAAATAATTGGGAACACTGATTACTCTAGATTTCGTCAACCGGTGGCAATACTCACTAATTTGCGCTAGGTAGACAATCGAGTCTACGATGACGTTATAAAATTATCCACGTGGCCCTCTTTAAGTCACGCGGAGAATTTTTAAACATCATCGTAGACTGACGAGGGGGCCAAATTAAGATGAACTTTCTCAGCCAAAACCGGAATCGAATACGGGACCTCCAGGTTAACCAACCAACATTTGACCCACTGTGCCACAGCGGCTCCCAAAAGATAAAATAACACAAGGTGCAGATAGCAGGACGTTTTTTTTCTTCATTTCCTGACGAACGTCGAAGCTGAATAAATCAATAATTTAATACTTACAGTTACATTTGCCTTGGATTATCTCCAGATCATCTATAGCTATATCTCCAAATATATTCTCACCAGTTACTGCTTCAATATAGATCTAGCAAATAAAGTTATTTAAATATATCAATCATGAAATGAAAGGGGCTTTACCATTCTACTTTTCTGCCCCTACCGGTCTAATGTGCTACGAGGGGAAAGTTTCCCGAATTCCAACTGCCTGGGCTCTTTTACACACATATTAACCTGTGCACATTACCTCAGTTTTGTATTCCACCCAAACGACTAGACACTGTTCCTTGTCTGGCCCTCCACCCTGTATCACTGACAAGGGGCAACCATGCTGAATAACACCAAGGAACTTTCTCTACCAACACGGTATCTCCTGTTAAAGCGAGCGCTTTACTCAGTGAGCGACAGTGTGTCCCGCTTTCCAAGGCACTCATGCACTGAAGCTAATTATGCTGACGCTATCAACAAGTGGTACTTGATGACAATAATGCTCATTAACTACTACGGCGATGACTATGGGGTTGCTTTATTGGGGGTGATGATGGGTGATTGCGACGAAAATGGAGAGGTACAGGAGAGAGGAGGGTCTGATGCCCTTTTTATACCAACATTGAAACCACTGATAATAGAACAGGACAAGGGCGACAATAATAAGTTTGAGGGTATCGACAATGCCATAATACGCGATAGACGCTTTACGACAATTACGGCGTGGACGATGGCGATGGTCATGATGATGCTTTACTGGTGGTTGTGATGATGGGTGATTGCGACGAACATGAAGGGGTGCAGGATCGAAGAGGGTCTTTCTTACCAATCTTTATCGAAAATCAGTTATAAAGTCTTATTTTTCAACATACCTTTGTATTTACTGTCGTCTGAACATCAAAACTACCACAATGCCATGAATTATTTTGATCTCCAGTTTTAATAAACATCTGCTGCTTTTTACTGTCATTCAAAATACCCATAGATAGTCTATTTATAGCTGCACCGTACATATGATAATAAAACCGAAAGCAGATATCAGAATTAATTGAAAGACTCTCACTGACTAGTACAGCTGTTGTGTTAGGTATAACTATTTTGTTTACATCTTTATAATCTCGTACATTTAAGTAAGCAAAATAATCTAAAACGAAAGTAAACAATATGCAAATAAGAGAAAGAGAAATGGGTTTAACGCACACTCGACACAAACTAGGTCATTTCGAGTTTCAAGTTTATTTCAATAATTCGCTTGCGTTTAAGGGGTCTTTAGCAGTGAGAGGAAACTGGGGAACCTAGAGAAAACCCACGGGGTTGGACAAGCGACCCTACTCTTTGTCACGTGCGTGCAAGCGGGGAATCGAAACCACGCTGCTTGACTCCATGGCAGCCCTTCTGATCCAACGAGCACGCGTTAACCATCTAACGCTGAAGCTAGCCATCATGCTTACCCTATCCCTAACCTACAATCTCGCCAACAATCATTTGCCATAAACCTTTTTTACATCTCAGCGACCTTGATGAAAATTGATCTGGCCTTAACAAATAGATTTAGCCGCCGACATAGGACCTTGTCGGCCATGTTATTAAATACCCTGATGTTCACTTTGTGATACCATCAATCGATCTGAGTCAAACTATACTCAGCCAAATTAAAAACTTGACACTCGGGATTTTTGGGACTAGATTTTTAATATTTGGTTTAAGGCAATTATTTTAGTGTTATGTTGTGCACAGGCGACCTTGACATCAACAGAAAGCAAGAATACGTCTCGCCGAAAGTCCTTGACGTTGATAACGTTCGTGATGTCACAGTACCCCCCAAAATGAAATTCACAGACTTGGAGTGTTTAGTAACGGTTGTGGCCTCCTCTAGCGTCTCGTACTGCCACACAACGTCTTCTCATGGATCTCAGAACATTAGTAAACACTACCCGAGGAAGACGTCGTCACTGCCCAGCAAGAGCATGTTGAAGGTCCTGCAACGTCAGTGGTGGATTCACTTGCTGACGAACACGTCGACCCAGTTCGTCCCAGATGTGTTCAATAGGATTAAGGTCAGGGCTAAGCGACGGCCAATCCAGGACTTGGACACCGGCATTTCTTAAAAAATTCTGGGTAGCAATTGCTGTATGGGGTCGAGCATTGTCTTGTCGAAACGTTAGTCCAGGCACATGCATAAACGGAAGAAGAACAGGTTGCAAAATCTGATCCCTGTACTGGACAGCATTTAATTTCCCTTGGACAACAACAAGAGGAGAACGTCCATGTGCACAAAAAGAACCCCAAACCATGACGCTGCCGCCACCAAATCGGCCAACTTCTCTGACGCATACTTGAGCGTAACGTTCACCTCGTCTGCGGTACACTCGGACCCTGCCATCGGCAAATCTCAAAGTGATCCGAGATTCGTCACTAAAGACAACCGAATTCCACTGTCTTTGAGTAAATCGTATGTGTCTTGTGGCCCACACAAGTCGGTTACGGCGATGAAGAAGTGTCAATATTGGTCCATTGTAGGGCCTCCGAGCTCGAAGACCAGCAGCCTCCAAGCGATTTCGAACAGTTTTTGCAGTTACCCTTCCACCAAACATCTCTCTACTTTTGGAGGTTGCAGTGACAAATCTGTTTCTAAGATGACGTAATCGTATTGCTTGATCTTCCTGGAGTGACGTCACACGTGGCGCTCCCGTCCTTGGGCGGTCGGCAATAGTTCCAGTTTGAAGCACTCTCATTCTAAGATTAATTATTGTCTGGCGTGAACAATTAAAGGCTCTTGCAACAGTGACCACAGACTCACCAGCATAGAGCCTACCTATAGCACGTAGCTAACAAAGATGAAAATAAAAATTTTAATTTGTTTTTCCAGTTCAAGTTACGTGTGCGTGTTCAGTTTAAGCAAACTTGCATCGATTGACCTCACGAGTTTGTGTTTGCACGTGTTTTTCAGGTTTTTCATCTTTATATGCTCAAAAGTCACGTGATCCATGTGACTTTACAATTTTATGAAATTAAAGGCTTCTTACTAATTACTATCGTTAGAAACACTTTAAAATTTATTTGACTTACCAGAAAAAAATTTTTGTTGAAATTCATCAGTGTCAAGTTTTTAATTTGGCTGAGTATATTATTAAATTTTAAAATTTTCTAACTCAAATATTTATTGTCCAAAAAAACCAATAATACAGATTCACGGACCGACATATCTCCCCACCACTCTTTCTACATGAAGGTTATAGAACAATTTAAATTTGACATGTCAGCGATTTCAGCCGCAGTGTCTTTTCGTCTACTTTACCTTCTTCGCTTTCTCTTTTAATTTTTATTGAAATATAGGTCTTTTAAATTATATGTATTCCTATACAGTAAATTTGGTAAATTTGCCAACTTTTAACAATACAAGTGAACAGAAATCAATAGCCCGCAGAATCATATGTACCGGTATTTTGATTATTTGTAAATTATTTATTTTAGAAAATTCGGGAATGAAAAGTGAAGTAAAATTAATAGCCTACGGAAAATGTTGTATTTTCATTTACCGGTATTTATTTATTTGTTAATTATTTTTAGAAATGTATTAAATTGAAAAGGGAAGAGATATAAAAAAAATAAAAAAAACAGCCTGCAGAAAATGTTGTATTTTTATTTGTTTACTTGTTAATTTGTTTTAGAAAAATATGGAATGAAAAGTGAAAAAAATTTAGTAACTTGCAGAAAATATTGTATTTTTATGTATTGATTTGTTAACTATGGAATGAAAAGACTTTTAAAATAGCCTACATAAAATGTTGTTTTTGTATTCTTTTTATTAGTTCCGATGCCTCATTTTAGCGGTAAAGGAATCACTTGTAAACAACAATGAATGATGAATCTCTAAAAAGAATATCAATCCAAAAATGGTTAAATTCCGTTCAGTATTTACAAAGATGTGTGGAATTCAAATGTCATCGATATGTAATCTCAATTTATTTTAAATCAGATTGAATTCAAGCCGGGGTATTAGTATTTTGAATAAATAAATAAAAATACAACATTGTCTCTTTATTTTTCAGTTCCATATTTTTCGTTAAGATATCAAATTACTCTCAGCTTAATCCATGTTAATATATACCCAGATTAATTATCTAATATTTAATAAAGAAATCAATATTAATTCGTTATAACGAAATATTAGTGAGGTTTCGCAGGCAGTACGAACTACGAACTACAGAGTGTTTATGTGCTGACGTCATCACTTCGTGTGATGTCATTGACATAAGCGGCGTTCAGTTCGTCCATTTTCTACGAAGAAATCGGGAAAAGTTTGTGGTTAAAAAACAAAGTACGACATCGTGATTTTCTCGCTGATTTGTGGATGAAATTCGTATTTTTTGCGGTTTTATAGAAAGCCTGAACATTTACACTTCAGAAGAAGGTTGATCAGCGTCAAAGTGGTCGGCAATTGTTCTAATTTTGGGCAAATTTTCGGCGGTGGGAGGAAACAATTACAACTAGTACAAAAAACAAATCCATTAATCTAAACTTCAAGATTTTTCCCCGGAACATCTGCGTTCACATACGTTTAAAAATGTAAATAATGAATTAAAAAATAGGTCTTCGTGTTCTTCATTATTCCATATACTTAGGAACATTGTCGCAGACATACCAGGAGCTATCTCAAAGTAGAATAAAAATTCGGTACTAAAATTTCCGACATAAAAAAATGGGGTGGCTAGGAATTGAGCGCTGTCTTGCCAATACCTCGCCATATAAACTCGATTCTTTGCAGAATCACCGTCAATTTGCCGGAGCGGGATGGCCAGCAAGATTTCCGGTCACGTGGGAAATTTCAATCGCCATTCCACCTGGGTGACCACTTCGACTCATCTCAGAGTAGAACATCATATTTTCCATTAAGTTGTGAATATTTTCCGAAAAATGCATTTGCCTCTCAGCACTTTAAATGTAAATATTTGTAAAACTTACTGGTTGTATTCGTTGTGTGTCCTCGATCGGGGCCTGTAGATGTTGTTTCAGTAGCAGTATTTAATCTCTCCCAGATGGCGCTGGCCTCATTTGTCCAACCGCAGAAATCACTTTCAAAGTCACAGCTTTGACTGGATACCAACCCTATAAAACATGAACCCGTCTTCATTAGTCCAGACGGACCAGAACAGTAGGACGTTAAACCCCCATTTCATGTCATTTCATAAAATATGAAGGGACATTATCACTTGGGCAAAAAATAGGAAGGAATATTATCACTTTGGCATAAAACAAAATGAAGTAATATTGACAACAAGTTATTTTACACGGTCGTTTATTAAGATCCTTGTAAACCACACAATTGTATTATGGAAATGAAACGTTGCATTTTTCTGAATCAACCAATCTAAAGAAGACTGGTATACGGGATATTTTGGCCGGACCGCGTCATTTCTACCTACTCGTCGTTAAGGGTATTTTTACGTTCACGCTAACGTGGTTTGTTATCCTAAGACAAAACCAGCCTGGAAAATCCCACGGAACTAGTTGGTGATTCTGCGCCTTAATCACTGAGGCCGTTTGGCTTCCCGAAACATGAAACCTCTTTTTCTCAGCAAAGGCATAGAATAATTGAGGTTTTGCACATACAATTTTCAATGTAACTGGTTAACAGACTTTACTGATGTTAGTATTTGTTCCTAAACACTATCAGTACAGGTAATATCATTGGTGGACGTTTCCTGTCATTCCGGGTGACTGCCTGGTCTAACGCGTGCATTTTAGTTCATAAGTGACGTGGGTTCGATCCTACATTTGTACGTGACAAGGGCCACCTGTCCAACATCGTGGGTTTAACGTCCACTTGACACAAACTAGTTAGTCTTTCGAGACTAACATAGGGCTCAATTTGTTTCTTAATTCGCTTGCGCGTAGGGGCTTTTAGCCATTAGAGGAAATGGGAACCGGGGGGAAATGATCCTATTCTTTGTAACGTACAAGCTGGCAATTGAAACCGCACCACTTGACTCAACAACAGACCATATGACCTAAAGTCAATGAGGAAATAACTAGTACTACATACCAGCAAAAATGGTTATCCATAAAGTTGTATACAGTCTTGATCCTATCATTTCTATTGTTGTACCTTCAGTAAATGTTCATAATAATATCTGAAACATGACAAAACAAGAGATTTAGATGAACAATAGAAATCTAGATGGGGTAAAATTTATTTTAAATTGGAGTTTGTTTTGCAAGATGAATACTTGCCTTTCTGAAGGGGTGTAAGAATTAGGCGGCTAATTCTATGCCATGTACGTAAAAAAAAACAAAAGGCATCTAGATGAACAATCGTAAATTGAAGTTTGTTTTGCCAAATGGATACGTGTCTTCCTCTAGGGGTGTGAGGAGTAGGTTGATCCCATTCCGTGTATATGAAGAGTAACAGGAGGGACGTAAGAAGTGGGCTGATTACGAGTTTTGCTGTGGAAATATAAAAGTATAGTGAAGAAGAGAGGTATGTAAATAGAATAGTAGAGGTCTGTCTCCAGATATGTAAGAAGTAGACTGATTCCATGCCAGGGACGTATCGCTGCACTTGGATATTAGAAGTGGGCTGATTCAGAGACTTGCTGTGGATATGTAATAGTAGTGATGTAGGATATGCGACTGCATAAAGGATACGTGGGTCAAATACGTGGCACAGTAATAACACGTGTGCTGACATTAGAACCTTAACACAATTAGCCCCCTCTAGAACTGAGCTTGGATGACAACACGAGCCAGACAGAGCACCCACGCAATCCCCTCAGCGGTATGGATTAGACACTGCCCTAGACTATAATGTACCCAGGAGCTACGCCTTTGGATGTAAGAAGTGGGCTGGAGGCGACTGCACAGACACGTGGGCCAGACACGTGGTACAGTGATAGAATACACGTGTGCTGCCTTTAGAACCTTAACACAATTAGCCCCCCCCCCCTCTAGATAGGAGCTTAGTTTATCATGGCAACATGGGCCAAATACTAACTAAATACTACCAAATACCACCACGTACTACCTCAATATTGTGAAAAACTAATATAATATTTCAATTATATAATTAGTTCCCTTGATCACCCAATACTAACAAATATTAACCCATACTATCAGAAATCTCTCTCCATTTCTGTAAAATAATGGTCAAGTATTACTCAAAAATGTGATAAAAGTACAATTATTTGAAAAACAACACGATTCAATGTATTCAATGTTTAGCCGTTTAATTTATCACTGTTAGTATAAATAGATATTTCAAATGTTTGCACTTTTTATAGGAATTAACTCATTGATATTGAAGTAATTATAGAAGTTGACTAGACTTTTAAACGCTTGAGCTACCGGGTCTGATACTATAAACAGACTTTTCCATTTTATCATAAAAAATGTTGCTATTTCACCGATTTAATTCAGTTTTTTATATAATTGAACTATTATGTTAGTTTTTCGCAATAATAAGGCAGTTTTTGATGGTATTTGATTAGTATTGGGTGGTATTGGGTATTATAGGGTAGTATTGGGTAAATCGTCCTATCGTTTAAAATTGAATGAAATTGAAGCAGGTTGAATCCGGAAATGTACTTTAATAAAAGAAGGCCGACAAAGGAAATGAAATAAAATAAAATGGGGTTTCGTCTTACTTTTCTGCACCATTTTGGATAATTAACACGGGCATACGCCATGAGGAAAATTTTTCCTATTCTTATTTCGAATGTCAAGAGTTCTTTTACGTGCACGCAAATGTGTACACGGAACCTCGGGTTCTGATCCCGTTCGAACGACTAGACACTGTTCTTTATCAGGCCCTCCGTCCTAAACAATTAAAAGGGGGGGGGGGGCAGCACCAGAAAATCCAGAAGAACTTTCTTGGTCAACACCAAGAGAGAACCCAGACCTCCTGGTTAGCGAGCCAGTGTCTTACTCACTTGGCAACCGCGGCTCCATACACACAATAGATTATAAGGATTCGATTTTAAAATGGGTTGCGAATTTTGCCCCATACTGAGAGGGGTCAAGATGGATCCCATAGAATAATAGGCAGATAAACGGTAATGAAACATACAAGGTTTGTCTAATTTGTACATACGGTTTGTACAGGGAACTGAGCCAAACCCAGGAAACAAGCCAAACCGGCACGTCATCTAATTTCGACAGTTCCATCCCTACATATGTACACGGTACTGGGTCAAACCGGTAACCAAGTCAAACTGTGACACTGGGATCCAGTGACACTTTTATCTCACTCTCTATCATAGTTGCAGGGGCGGATCCACCCCCCTGATTCAGATACATATTTTTTTTGTAAACCAACACTTTTTATGAGAAATGTTTCTCGGCCGTGTGCTTTATCCTTTATCGTCAGATGTGGGACAGGATGGGCACTCAAAGCACGAGATAATGATATAGACATTATGTGATATTTGAATCACAATGTAATTGTATTAATTCATAATCAAAATTGACGTCAAACGAGGTGTTGAATTTCTCTGTTTAAAAAGCTCAATGTGTATGTATACGCCAAAATGACAACAGAGGCCATGGGGGGGGGGATACATTGTCTCAGGCACCTGGCAAACCACCTCCTGCAAAAATTCCTGGATCCGCCCCTGAGTTGTTGTTTTCCATAGAGGTCAATGTCCGCTTCCACCGAGGATGATATAGCAAGCAAATTAAAGGCATGTGAGAGTACACTGAAGTAGCCGGGGTAAACCCACATATACGCTCACACCTGGTTTCGAAACCACGACCACAAGCCAGAGGTGACCGGCCAGCTAGATGTCGAAGCGCGACACTGCAGATCACTAGGCCACACCAACATACACCTCTCAAAGCCTGCCCCGTACTTAATAGAACACCTTGTATATTCAGTGTGACTTACCCATTCCCTTTAATACAGCGTGACATATCCTAATGATCTAGACCTTCTAAAAACAACAGCATGTTAAATCACAGAGTCCCTATTTAAACAGATTTAAAGGTTCCAGCACCTAGATTTGTTACAATCTACAATCTATCAATCTACCAATGGATGCTAATCGATCTACTTCCTGCTTGGGAAATGTGATATGTATAATATATTTGTTTTTATTTTGTTAACCAGTTTATGTAAATACCTTTATATGAATAGCTGGTGTCATATTTAGGTTACAAGCAGTGGGGCGTACAGTGAGTGATTTTGTTGAAGACAAACTAGCTTTATTGTGTCACTTACGAGAGATAACGTTAAGTCATTTAAACCGAGGTCCCGTTTAGACAATGACTTGCACGTAAAAGAACCCTTGACAGTTGGAATTCGAAATAAGAGTATAGGCCGTAGTGCCGTTGTCCGGGCAACATTTCCCTCAAAGCACACCGTCTGTTTTAACCCTGTAATGTGAATTCTCGCCAACTTGAGAACCGTCGTTCGAACCCGGTGTCAGCCGAGCAGACCCTCCGGACTTTTACGACATGCCTCCTCCCCGCTTGTCAGTGGTACAGGACGGGGGGTCTGGCAAGGATACAAGTCGTTCGACGGGGCAATTACTGTTATATCGATGGGGTTCCTCTGCTGACAGCACCAATGGTTCACACACAATTTGAAAATGAAATGTTAAAAACTGTAGCCTCTATCGCTTTCAGATTCTTTCGGCAATACGGTTGCAGGGCTCATCCATTACGAACCGTTTGTTAAACATTTCCTTTCCTACGAAGGGTCCATTACCCAAGAAGTTGCGGTATGAAGCGCATTAAAATCGAACTCTGGTTCCACGATCATACATTCTCATGTTTCATCTGAATCAGACAAAAATTGTCGCCTCTGGTCATTTGCACATATTTCACATTTTTCATAAATTGTGGCCTCCCGTCAGAAAACGTCGTCCATATTTCACATTTTGCGTAAAAGGCAGGGTTCAAAGCACAACATCGAACTCATCCAAGATCTGGTGATCCTTAAACCTGCATTATGCAAGAGCTAAATCTGCCTATTGCAGGTCATTCTCTGGGCCTAAAATGCTATTTAAATTATTAATTAGACGTTAATTAACTTATCCAGACCATAATCAACTCTCGATGGCATCGTTAGCCTTCGATATTTAGTGGATTGGAAAACATTTTGCGATGGATAATTTAACGTAAAAATGGATAAACGTTAGTAATGACGATCGAGCTCTTTATCTAATCTTACCTAATGCTTCTTTAACATATACATATTTTATGTTGCATTGTAACATCTAGAGGGTGCACAATTTTCATCTGATATACTCTGTCACTATTTGCGTAATGGAAAAATCCTAACAGGAAGTTACCGTCCGATTTCAATAACATCGAAATCACCCGCGAATTTTTTTATAATAAACATATGTGAACGGACGTCCGGTACGATGACATTACATGAAAATGTTGGCGTATATAAATAAAAAATTGTTCAAAACCAATTTATTTATTTTTAGGCATCTTACACATAATACATACAGTAACAACGTCTTTGCTTTGGAAGCTCTTAAATTGCATGACAAATACCAAAGTTAACCTAACTGAACTGAATAATAAACTGAGTTTATTAGAGAAAAAACTTTTTTTTTTAATAAATACATATATAACATGCGTAATAGGATATAAGAAATAAGCAGGATACAACATCACTGTATATATGAAGTCAGCGATACAACAGCGCAGTAGGCCAATCGCTTACTAAAACGGATTTTTATACGCCCACATTTTTATGTGGACGTATTATGCCATCGCCCCTGTCCGTCCGTCCGTCCGTCCGTAATTTGTTTGTGGACACTCTACAGATTACAATTTCTATCCGATTTTGACGGATATTGGCATGTATCGGACCATAACTTCATGATTTACATACTTAACGATAAAATGGATAATCGAGACTTAGATTCGACTGTCAAGTACAGTTGCTACATCTTCAAACGTTCATAACTTCGCTCAGAATAATTTGGATGAAATTTTCAATATATTCTCTTTTCATTATCTAACTCTTTATCAAAATCGTACATAATGCATCTTTAACATTTAAATTAAAATCATAATTAATATAATCATATAAACACGAGCTAGGATATTCTGAGACTAACATATAGTAGAAACTTCACGAGGTTGGATGGACCACTAGAAACGTCGTTCAGTATATACTTAGCAATGATATTTAACAGAATTTTGACCTGTTTATTTCAAGTTTAATTACTAAATGCCACTGAAACAACGGTAGACATCGTATCTGGGTAATGTGTCAACAGTCTTGTATATTACTAAAACCGGACTGAATCGTCTGGGTGATCTGAACCATTGATCGCCTGAAGGTAGGTGGTGGTACCACAGGGTGGAGGAGGTGGTAGCTGGGGTTTTACATATCCGTCTCCTTCGGGTAACGTATCGTAATCTGCATTGCCTAGATCAATTTGGTTTTCTCTCATTCGATTATCATCTATGTCATCGTAGATTTCGTCTTCTACTGGAAGGTCGTAACCTAGGTATTGTGTGTTTGACACCGGATGGCCGTATAGGCCGTAACGTGGAGGTAAAAATATTTCTGGCTTCTTCCTGTCAAAAGAATAATAACATGTACTACAGTCCCTTAAAATGAAAACAGCCCATGCCAACAAAAGAGCCAACAAAATCCCTTAACCAAACAAACAAACAAACCACAGAAAAGGTTCAAGATCTACGAGCAGGACCGTGGTGACGCTGATTTTGCACGAGACACAGAATCTAGTCATGGCACAAAATTTTTCATTGCTTTCTCTGATCTCATGACAATCAATTCTTTTTATGAACATTTCGTTTCGGACTGATATCCTTTCACGGTTTCATATAACAACTCGTCGTCTTCACATGAAATATCAGTGAGCTGCAAATCGAGTGGGCACCTGGTATCGCGTTCTACTGCAATCAGTAACGATAAACGTTGTCCTTTTTATGCGTCACTTCCTGATTCGTCAAACCTTTGTTACGAAGCAACTGCAGCAAAATCTATGTGTTGAAATTATATGTGTTTAACGAGTTCTTTAACATATTATGTAATTTTGATAGACACCAATATTGTCCTTTAGAATGGCAATAAATGAAATGAAATGAAATGGTGATTAACGTCAACTGTTCTGCTCCGACATTGTCCTTGAAAGTGCCCACATTGTCCTTTAAAGCGACAATGAGCCAGTAAGAATAATGTCCTGCCATTAATCAGTCTTTAATTATACTGACAAATATATTACTTTATAAATTCAAACAATTAAGATTCTTTATTTTCAAATAACACCCATTGGTTATCCTTCAAAAACGCCGTTAAATGTTAACACGCAAAATTTTGTTTGCTAACTAATTTAAGAAATACAGAAAGCTGAAAATAACCATAATATGTTTTACACTATGCAAATATTGGACTTGGTTTGGGTTATATGAAGCACTAACAATATTGATTTGGGTTATATGTAGTGATAACAATATTGAGCATGATTTGGGTTCTATGAAGTGATAACAATATTGAACATGATTTGGGTTCTATGGAGTGATAACAATATTGAACATGATTTGGGTTATATGAAGTGATAACAATATTGAACATGATTTGGGTTATATAAAGTGATAACAATATTGAACATGATTTGGGTTATATAAAGTGATAACAATATTGAACATGATTTGGGTTATATGAAGTGATAACAAGTTTATCAACACAAGCATTTGGGATTGACTTTTCAGAAAAACTGCAAATGGGACAAACACGTTAACAATATTTTGACTAAAACGAGTAAAATGATTAATTGTCTTACGTCTTTAAAACACCGCCTCAATAGAAATACCTTGAAAACTATATATACCTCTTTTACTCTTCCACATTTTGACTATTGTGACGTCATATGGGATGGGTGCACAGACGAACTAAAAAATAAATTAGAACACTTACAACTAGATGCACTCAGGACTATATGCGGGGCTGTGAAGGGTACCAGACATAGGTTATTATATGAAGAAACAGGATTTATCACTCTGCAAGAGAGGCGAAGGCGTCACAAACTCATCATAATGTACAAAATTATTAATCAGCTAACCCCTCCATACCTCCACAATTTAATCCAGTTTTCCAAAACTCCTTATACTCTTCGTAATAGCAATAATTTAACTGATTACTTTCGTCGAACAACTTTATTCTCTAAATCCTTTATACCTTCCACCATAAAAGAATGGAATAACCTTGATATAAATATTAAAAATGAGACCTCTATAAGTAAATTTAAAACTAAAATAACTGATAAAGATAAAAATATACCACCGTGTTTTAACTTTGGCAAACGTAAAAATCAAATATTACATAGTCGACTTCGTCTCTCTTGCAGTGACCTAAATGGGCATAAATTCTAAAGACATATTTCGGACAGCCCCGAGTGTGATTGCGGTCATTCCTTCGAAGATACCGATCATTTTCTTTTACATTGCTCCTTACACTCAGATGCACGCAAAATATCTATAAATCTTTTACCACCGAATTTTTATTAATACACATAATCTGTTATACGGTGTAAGCAGCAATCATATTTCGTTAGCAATCTTTGAAAAGGTCCACATGTTTTTTGAGAGCAGCAGAAGGTTTTAAGATCAGTGTAACATCTATATCGATTAAAATGCGAACATGAACAACTGCGTAGCCAATGTGTAAATATGTATATATAAAATGTTGATGATTAAGTATTCATTTTATTGTTTTGTTGTTTACTCACTTATTCCTTTTACATATCTATATTAATTCTTGTATTTAGGCTATGCCTGTTCCTCAACCCCTTTCAATTTCTGAATAAAATATTGTTTAAAAAAAACCAAACAATATTGAGCATTGAACATGATTTGGGTTATATGAAGTGATAACAATATTGGGCATGAATTGGGTTATATGAAGTGATAACAATATTGAACATGATGTGTCATTTATATGAAGTGATAACAATATTGAACATGAATTGGGTTATATAAAGTGATAACAATATTGAGCATGATTTGGGTTATATAAAGTGATAACAATATTGAACATGAATTGGGTTATATGAAGTGATAACAATATTGAGCATGATTTTGGTTCTATAAAGTGATAACAATATTGAGCATGAATTGGGTTATATGAAGTGATAACAATATTGAACATGATTTGGGTTATGTGAAGTGATAACAATATTGAACATGATGTGTCATTTATATGAAGTGATAACAATATTGAACATGATTTAGGTGATAACAATAGTATTACTTTGAAAATAATAAAAGTGTATTTACTTGTTCTTGTAACAGATGAAGGCTACTACACCTATTAGTATTAATACTGCTATGGGTATAGTAGTAGCATATATCAAAATATTATCTGAAATAACCAAAGATTTTTAATAATTTTACAGTAAACAAACTTAGTCTCTGAAGGAAGGTTGGATGACCGAATGGTTAACGCATGTGCGTGGTACCAGACGGTCTGTAATTGAGTCAAGTGGTGGGGTTTCGATTTCCCTGCTTGTACGTGACAAGGAGTACTTCGCCTGTCCAACCCTGTGGGTTATCTCCAGGTCCTCCGGTTTCTGCCCACTGCTAAAAAGCACTACGCGCAATCGAATTATTGATATACAATTGAACCATCTGTAAGTCCCGAAATCAATCTCTAATTAAATTCCAATAAATTATTAAACTACCAATTTATTTCTTTTTGTGATTTATTTTCCCGATTGTATCTTTATATGACTGCCAACAGAGATAATTAGGGCGTATGCTACAATCTATAATATGACTTATACCAGTATTAAGGAACCGCGATGGCTCAGTGAGAAAGACGCTGTCCGCTAGTCTGGAGGGGTTGAGTTCGCTCCCGGTGCCGTCCGAGAAAGTTCCGTGATTTTCCAGCGCGGTTTCCCCTTGTCAGTGGTGCAGGACGAACAGCCTGAGAAGGAAAGCTGTCTAGTCAATCGGATAGAACGACAAAACGAGGTCTCGTGTATACATTGGCGTGCACGTAAAAGATCCCTTGGTAGTTGGAATTTGACATAAGAGTAGGTCCGGCTAATTTTTTCTAAGAGCATACTGTATGGCGTATACCCGTCTTCGTTAGCACTGTGGGTGCCGAAAAGTAAAAAGTTAAAGCCCGATTCATTTCCAATACCAGTATCAGTGTAGAGACGAATGGTTTAAGGCGTACGCTTAGATCATAAGGTCTGTCATTGAGCCATGTTTGTGGCGTGGTTTCAATTTCTAACTTGACCAGGAGTACAATTGTCTGTCCAATTTTTCGTGTGTTTTCCCCGGATCTTTCGGTTTCCTCCCACTGCTTAAGACCCCTACGTACACGCGAATTATTGAAATGAAATTGAACCATATGTCAGTCTCGAAATAACCTAGTCTCTCTCTCTCTCTCTCTCTCTCTCTCTCACTCTCCATTAACCGTATGGTGCAGAACATCAGTAGGACGTTAAACTCCATTTCATTTCATTTTGATATATTGGATAGTTAAATGATTTAATAGAGTACCTGAAACCAGATTAGAGGTATCTTTTGTCGTCTCGGAGTTGTCTGGTTGTGTTGTAGGAGTGGTCGTCGGGACGTTTCTTGTATTACTTGGTAATGTCGTAGCACTGCCTGGTGATGTAGTGCCGCAAGGTGCTTGAAAGGATAAACAGCATTGAAACAATCAACAAATAACATAGCACAATAATCGAACGCCATTACAGTTTGAAAAGATTCAAATGGTAGATGGACAATGATTAACAAAATTAAAATTGACGAAAATGTTAAATATCAGATAATTAAAAGGTAAAATAAAATCTTTAACGTCCTACTATTCTGCCCTGATTGTAATAGTGAAGACGGACATATACGAACTCCATCTATCGTGGGATCTTTTATGTACACGCCAATTGGTACGCGGGACCTCTGTTCTCCGTACCATCCGAACGACTATTCGTTGTTTCATGCCATGCCCTATGTCCCGCGCCACTAACAAGGGGGAAGATGCCGACAAATCACGATGACCCTTCTTGCCCAACATTGGGATCGAACACTGGATCTCCTAGTTAACGAGCCAATGTCTAACCCAATGAGCCACAGAGACTCTCAACGGATAAAAAAAACAGGGTTTAACGCCGGTGCAGAAAGCAGGACGTTATTTCATTTTATGACAAATGTCGAAGCTGAACAGATCAATAATTTAATACTTACAGTTACATTTGCCTTGGATTATCTCCAGATCATCTATAGCTATATCTCCTAATATATTCTCACCAGTTACTGCTTCAATATAGATCTAGCAAATAAAGTTATTTAAATACATCAATCATGAAGTGAAATGGGGTTTAACATCCTACCTTTCTGCACCTACCGGGGATAATGAAGACAGTCACACTGTGTGCTAGATGGGATATTTTGGCCGAACAGCGGCGTTTCGGTCTATTTTGCACCAAATTCAAACTGACAATCGTTCGTGTAAATGTATGAAAACGTATATACACCGGACACGGTTCTTTGCCAGGTTATCCCTCATGCACCACTGAGGAAAGAGAAGCCACGTAATCGAACCTGGAATGTTCTAGTTGATTGGTCAGCGTTTTACTCACTGAGAAACCGTGGCTTTCGGTATCCGAGGCACGGATGCCCTTTTATCTCAAAACCGAACTTTTTAATCAAATATACAACTGACGGAATACGGTTCTAGCTGAGTACGAAAAATGTTCTCTGTTTTTTATTTACGTCTTTTTTATGGATTAATGTGTTGTGATTGTTGTAATTTTATATTAGTTGTACTTATGTAAAGCGCCCAAGAGCAGCTCGCCGAGTTGAATTGTCGGTGCTATATAAATAAATATATTATTATTATTAATGCCAACATTGAAACCATAGATGATAGAACAGGGGGAGGACGACAATAATGAGGTTGATGCTATAGACAATACTATAATGATAGACGCTTTATGACAATGCTAACGATTGATTACGACGACGACGGCCGGCGACGACGATGGTGGTGCTTTACTGGTGGCTGTGATCATTGGTGATTGCGATGAAGTACACATTCTTAATGAAACAAAATAAAAAGGCTTTAAAAACCTGCTTTTCAACGTACCTGTGTATTTACTGTCGTCTGAACATCAAAACTACCACAATGCCATGCATTATTTTGATCTCCAGTTTTAAAAAACATCTGCTGCTTTTTACTGTCATTCAAAATACCCACTGATAGTCTATTTATAGCTTCACCGTACATATGATAATAAAACCGAAAACAGATATCAGAATTAACTGAGAGAGTCTCACTGACTAGTACAGCTGTTATGTTGGGTATAACTATGTTGTTTCCATCTGTATAATCTCGTACATTTAAATAAGCAAAATAATCTAAAACGAAAGTAAACAATATGCAAATAAGTACGAAGAATGGTTGGTCCAATAGGCACAGTAGGACATTGCGCTAGGGATCACGGGTGCCTGGGGGCCCACTGGAATCAATTTGTGAACGCGTATAACATTGTTTCAAGTGTACACCTAAAAACATTGGGGGCACACTGGCGAGTTTGATCAGTAGGTAAAAGCGGCCTTGAGAAGGTTTTACATGTAGAGATGTCAGAATATATACTGTCCGGAGACAGTTGTACCTGAACTCTGATTAAAGATGCGAGGAGGCAATAACGTGCTGCCGCTTTAAAAATAGCTCATATAGCTTACAACTGGGACAGTTATTAGCACTTCCTGGGCAACAACTACCTACCCCGCTCCATGCTAATGTGGCTATGGCTTGGCTATGAATTAGGCGCTGCCTGGACCACAATTACCCACTCCGCTTCATGTTAGTATGACCACTTCAATTCGTCTCAGACTAGAGCACCATAATGTCCATCAAGATACATTTGCCTCACATAGACTTTAAATTTAAATATTTCTAAAACTTACTGGTTGTATTTGTTGTGTGACCTCGATCAGGGCCTGTCCCCTGTGTTTCAGTAGCAATATTTAATCTCTTCCAGATGGCGCGGGCCTCTGGTTCATTTGTCCAATCGCAGAAATCGCTTTCAAAGTCACAGTCTTGACTAGAAACCAGCCCTATAAAACAGGAAGGGACATTGTCACTTTGGAATTAAAAGAAAATGAATGGATGTGATTTTGAAACATGTCATATTGAAAATGACCGTTAGTCCAGGACTACATAGAAAATCCGAGGACTACTGACAACTTTATTTTAAAATTTATTTATTTTATTAAGATCCTTGCGAATCACTAAATTGTATTATGGAATTGAAACGTAAATGAAATGGGGTTTAACTTCCCATTTTTCTGAATCAACCGATCTAACGGAGATTGGTATACGGGATATACCTACTCGTCATCAAGGGTTATTGTACGTACGTTCCCGCCAACGTGTACACGTGCCATTGGTTTGTCGTCCGATCTACACAGCTGACCAGGCAAAACCAGGCTGGACAATTCCGAGGAGGTCGTTTGGCTTTCCGAAACATGAAGCCGTCGTGTCTCAGATATGCCATGGAATGCTCGAGATTTTGCATACACAATTTCCAATGTAACTGTTTAACTGATTTCACTGATTTTAGTATTTGTTCCTAAACACAATCATTGATATCTGCACACTCAGTACAGGGAATATGATTGGTGGACGTTTTCTATCATTCAGGGTGGCTGAGTGGTCTAACGCGTGCACTTTAAATCGTAAGGTCTGCAATTGAGTCAAATGACGTGGTTTTGATCCCACACTTGTACGCGACAGGTGCTAATTCGTGGGTTTTCTTGGCGTTTAAATTCCACTCAACATAAACTAGGTCGTTCGGGACTAACATAATTATGTTTCAATAATTCGCTTGCACGTAGGGGTGGTGGATCGAGAGAAAACGATCGAAGTTTTACATGTCACGAACAAGCTCGCAATCGAAACCGCGTCACTTGAACCAAAGAAAAATCTTATGACTAGCACAACATACCAGCAAGAAGGGTTATCCACAAAGATGTATACAGTCTTTCTCCTACCATTTCTATTGTTGTATCATCAGTTAATACTCAATACAATATCTGAAACATGATAAAACAAGAGATTTAGATGAACAATGGAAATCTTGATGGGGTTAAATTCACTTTAAATTGGAGTTTGTGTTGTGAGACTGGTACTTGTCTTCCTTGAAGGGGTGTAGGACGTAGACGGCTGATTCCATGCCATGTATTTAAACACAAAAGAGCGACGTATTCCGAGACTTGCTGTGGAAATATAGAAATGGTCTGATTCCGAGACTTGAGGTTGTAAATATAATAGAAGAGGTCTGTATCCAGAAATGTAAGAAGTAGGCTGATTCCATGTCAAAGGGACGTATTATCGCTGCATTTGGATGTAAAACAAAATAGACTGATGCCATTTCATGCATAAAAAGGGTCGTATGCTGCACTCGGGTGTAAGAAGTGGGCTTATTCCGAGACATGGTGTGAAACTATAAACTGTAGGGATGTAGGGTGCAACTGAATAGAAGTACTTAAATAAAAGACACGTGGACTGCCTTTAGAACCTAAGCTTAGTAGATGACAACGCGGGCCAGTCTGTGTACGCATGTCAACTGCTCAGCGGCACTACCCTAGACTATAATGTACTCAGGAGCTACGCCTTTGGGTGGATGTTTGGAATGGTTTATTAAACCCTGTATCTCAAAAGGCACACATGGAATCGGTAAACCATCTTAATCGCTTCTTTATCCGACCTAATGTTAGATTCTCACTACCACCGTTCGCGCTACGGTTGACATCGTGCTTTTAATCGTGGAGTAATCGTAGTGATCCTGTCAGGTCTTATCATATATCCTATCGTAACGCATCACACGACAGTGCGAACCTGACATAAGGTAGGGTCCCACTAGCAGGATTCGCGCCACGATTGTCGTCGTGGTTTTAACTGTGGAGTAATCGTGGTGATCCTATCGGGTCTTAAAGGAGCTAAATCGCTAATATTTGAGACCTAGAAATTGACACGAATCGGACGCAACGCCTATAATAATGTAATATGAATATATATAAACGTCTGGGTATTCCAGCCTACACCGATAGTATTTATTGCGCAAGCTCTCGAGATAAGAATATGGCGTCACTGTTTGACATGACTTGTGAAATATGTCTAGTCTCGTTTTTCGAGTCCGTTGTTACAAATGACACTGAAACGCATTATGGTACACGATTCGTGTATCAATGGTAAAATGTTTATTTGATGTTAAATATTGGATATCAGAATCCTACCCTTTCCCGGCAAGATCACATCAATGTTGATTCAAATTGACAAATAATTCGTGTTTTCAGTGTCGAAGACTTTGGATGATACTGAGTTAGAGATTTGGCTACTTTAACATATATTGAGGTCAGTCGTAGTCATCGCATTGGTTGAATCAAAACGTATCCGAACGTATTTACACGTACCAGATCGTGGACTCAATTGGGACAATTCTATCGTAACGCATCGCACTATATTGGGAACCTGGCATCAGGAAACATTAGTCGGTCATGTCTCGCTAGGTGGAAAAGAACGTTAAGATCGAAAAAAACAACAATATTTAATTTCCGGTAATGTAATTGGCCAACCAGGGATGGGATCAAACGTCCTACTTCTCTGCACCGTTTGAGCTAATGGGGGAAATTTTGCCTAGTCTTATTTCGAATTCCAACTGTCAAGAACTCTTTTACGTGCACGCCAATGCCTACCTCGGGTTCTCGTCCCATCCAAACGACTAGACACTATCGATGTCAAGCCATCTATCCTGCCCGATTGACAAGGGAAAACCACCCGGAAAATCCCGAGGAACTTTCTTAACCAACACCAGGAGCGAACCCGAGACCTCCCGGCTAGCGAACCAGTGTCTTTCGCGCTGAGCCACCACATCTCCATACACACAATATCGTACATAATAAATTATAAGGATTCGGAAACACGTTTTAAAGCTTATATTTATTGGTTTCCTAGTGATAAACAACGTACAAATTACCGATTTTTGGGTGGTGTTGGGAATTTAGCCCCAAGTGAGATAGATTCCATAGAACAATAAACAGATAAGCTGTAATGAAACAGTTCTGTATATACATATGTACAGGGAACTGGACGCAATCAAAGAACCAAGTCAACCCGTCACATCATCTAATCTCGACAGTTCCATCCTTACATATATATAAGGAACTGAACCAAACCCGGGAACCAAGATAACCGTGACACGTAAACGGTTTATCGTTCCATCCCTAAATATGCGCAAAGAACTAAGTCAAACTCGAGAACCAAGCCAAACCGTGACACTGCGATCCAGCGACCCTTTTATCTCACTCTCAATGTTGTTTGTAGGGTTTAAAGTCCACTTCCACTGACGGTGATATCGAAGACAATTCTTTTTTTATTTTTAAAAAATGCGCTTGCGTAGGTGTCTTTCCTGTTAGAGGAAACCCGGAGTAAACCCACCTACGCTCACACCAGGGATCGAAACCAGCTAGAGATCGAAAAACGTCACTTTAGACCACTAGGCCATACCATACCCCAACTCACAAGGCCTGTCCCGTATGTTATATAACACATATATTCAGTGTGACTTACCTATTCCGTTATATAGCGTGACATACCCTAATGATCTAAACCTTCTACAAACAACAGCACGTTAAATCACAGAATCGCTATTTAAACAGATTTAAAGTTTCCAGCACCTTGGTCACTTTCTTAAAAAAAAATTATTTGTTATAATCTACAATCTATCAGTCTACCAATGGACGCTAATCGATCTACTTCCTGATTGAAAAATATGACGTATATTTCTTTTGTTAATTTGAATGACTTATTATAACGCCCCGTAACGTACCTTTATATGAATAGCCGGTGTCATTGTCGGCGATATTAGTTCGGTGGAAGCGAACGTTATATAAAGCTATTCCACACAATAGATCGTGTCATATTTACGATATAAGCAGTAAGGCGAACAGTGAGTGAATTTTGTTGAAGGCAAACGAGCTTTATTGTGTCACTTTGTAAACAGTTCAATATTACAAAGTAGTACTTTTTGACAATAAGAATAGGCTGTAGTCCCGCTGTTCGGACAACACTTCTCTCATAGCACACTGTCTGCCGGACTTCATTAGCCGAGTCGGTTCAGAAATTAAAGACGTTGAACTCCATTTCATTCATCGTTAAGTCACTTAAATGCCTCGATCGATGTTTGATTTCGATTAATAACACCATTTTAAAAAATGTATCATTTGAAATTTCAGGTAGGTATAGAAAGCATAAATTAGTTGTTTTTAGTGGGGGTGGGTGGCCGAATGGTTAGTGCGTGCGTGTTGCAACACAAGGTCTGTCATTGAGTCAACTGACGTGGTTTTGATTCCTCGGTTGTAAGTGACAAGGAGTAGAGTCGCCTGTCCCACCTCGTTAGTCCCACTGCCAAAAACCCCTACGCGCAATCGAATTATTGAAATAAATAGAACCATATGTTAGTCCCAAAATTACCAGTTTGTGTCGAGTGAAGGTTATCACCTCCTCTCTCTCTCTCTCTCTCTCTCTCTTTAGCTTCATCTTTCCACGTACTCATTGATCCACATAGTCGCGTCACAAACAAAAGACTCGAACATTAAATACTGTATGTGCTATTATTAATGGTAATTTTCATAAACACATAGATTTCCATAAAACAACCATTTCCGGTTTCGAACAGTTGATCCCCCTTGCCAGATTCTGATTTTTGTTATGGTTTTATGCGATGGCTTTTATAGTCATTACATATGGATCACATTTTCTGCGTCCAATTGATTATATATGTTTTAAAAATATATGTTTTTATATTATTCTTATTTTTTTTATTTAAACATGCATTATGCAAGAGCAAAATCTGCTTATTACAAGTCTTTCTTTAGGCCTGAAATGTTATCTAAATTATCAATTAGACATTAATTAACTTATCCAGACCATAATAAACTCTCGATGTCAAGGCTAGCCTTCGATGTTGGCTGGATTAGATTCCTATATGCTGCTAACGGCCATTGATAATTAAATCAGAAAAAGTGGATAATCGAGACTATGCTGTTTATATTAATGATTTTAGTAATGGTGACCGAGACTATGCAAAAATTTCACCCGCTTCTTTCTCGGCTCATAGTGGATCAATTTGACTGAACTTTTCAGCAAATTACCTTTACACTATCTAGTTTGTATCTATTATAGCGAGAACTGCCATCTCTTTATCTTATCTCCCATAATGTATCTTTAAAGATACATTATGGGAGATTCAATAACGAGTTGGCAGTTCTCACTATAATAGTTAAAAAACTAGATAATATAAAGGCAATTTGCTGAAAATTTCATTCAAATTGATCCACTAAGAACCGAGGACATAGCGATTGAAATTTCCGCGTAGCTTCGATCATCATTACTAAAGTCAGTACAATAAACAGCATAGTCTCGATTATCCAGTTAATCGTTAAATAGTGAAGTAAATCGGCTCATAATCCACTAAAGATCGCAGGATAGTATGGAAGGGGATCGACGCCACATTAAAAGACATGTAAACACGAGTAGAAGTTACTATGTCAGCATATGAAAGTGTTGTTTTGATGATTTTTCCATGATTGATTTTACAAAATAGAAAAGTATTGTCCACTAACGAAAAAACACATGTACAAATGCGCCTTGTAACGTTTGTATTTTCTACATCTGATCTTTCAACTGTTGTAATTTCTACTAGTGCATAATCAACATCGGTAAATTCGACATCGGTATTTTCTTCCAATGTAATTTCTTCACATGTCACATCCATCAAGGCGTGGTTCCGAATGCACGTCTTGTACCGCCCCTTTTAAAATATCGCTATCTCAATAATAAAGTCTCCCGGGAAAGGGCGATAACTGGCATAGAAAGTAGAGACTTTTGTAGAATATCTTTATAACAATTAACATGACCGATAACCTTTTGTTTTTCGAGTTACACAGTCGGATTTTGAAGTTAGCAAACTGTTTGAACAAACCTAGCGAATGTATTTCGTCTGTATTAAATGAATGTCGGAATGTATGGAAGGGGATCGACGCCACATTAAAAGGGCGATAACTGGCATAGAAAGTAGGGATTTTGTAGAATATCTTTATAACAATTAACATGACCGATAACCTTTTGTTTTTCGAGTTACACAGTCGGATTTTGAAGTTAGCAAACTGTTTAAACAAACCTAGCGAATGTTTTTCGTCTGTATTAAATGAATGTCGGAATGAACTGGAGCTTGTTGCTGGTGTTATATCGGAAATCAGTGTAGAGTGTGAAGCCGAAGAGATGCAGGTTTATTTGTCGCACTTACGTCGAGCTTTCGATTTACTGGAGCTATCTGTTAGTGTACGTAAGACCCAGTTATTTAGTGAACCGAGAAAAATCTATATTTCTTCTGGAAGTGTTGGGCCATCTTCAGTGTTCATTCCGGAAGAGCAGTTGTGCTATTTTGCTGACAGAAACTTTAAACTGATAGAGATTGCGAACTTTTATAATGTCTCGAAGAGAACAATTTGCAGAAGACTAAATGAATATGGTATTTCTCTTTTAAAGAAGTACAGTACTTTAGATGATGTACAGCTGGACAATCTAGTGACAAATATATTATCACGCTTGCCAAATATTGGTTATAGAAGTGTCCAGGGTCATCTAATTAGTGAGGGATACACTTTTCAAGAGGAAAGAGTAAGAAATTCTATGAGGAGGGTTGATTTGGAAGGAGTCCTGTACAGACGACTAACCTTGTTGCCGGTAAGAAGGCGAAGATACTGTGTCAAAGCTCCAAATTCCTTGTGGCATATAGATGGCTATCACAAGCTTATAAGGTACTGTACCATTATGTACTTGATTGTCTTTCTTTTAATACAAGCCACTGTAAGTGTAATATATATTGCTCCAGTGTACAGTAGAAGAGGATAGAGCCCCAAGATCACTGCATTACAACAATACTGAAGAGGGGGTGTAAGAGTGTGTGTGGGCAGTGCCGTATTTACCCAGGGGCCACTTAAAAGAATTGGATCTAGGGGGCCCCCAAGAAATTTTTTGAAGAACATGAATTTCAAATCAAATGCGTGTTTTAAATGCAGAACATGCTAAGTTAAATAAGGGCCCTTCATCAACTTTTAGCCCAGGCCCGCCATAGTTTTCAATGCAGCCCTCTGAGTGTATCCAATATATTTCCAGCTATTTGTTATTCAACCAACCAGCATTCAAGTAGGGACCATTTAGAGCTAAACCTCTCACTTGTTTGTTTCTACATCTCTGTATTATTGTCTTATAGTCAAATATCTTGGTCAGCACACAATATTGATGGAATGATTTCATTTACATGATATCTATAGATAGACCCTTATTGGCGTATATAATTAGAAAGAATAGTGTTAGCTAGATCATCATCACCTGTTTTACCAAAAAGTATATCAGATACCCTATCTTAATATTGTAATTTAAATATAGCTTTGAAATTTTACACATTTCATGCCAAATAACTTTGTATGCACAATCATAAAAGATATGTTCTATATCTTCAGTTACTTCATTAAGCCAAACTGCAGATGTTACTGTTCATAGTTTTCTACCAAGGTTTGATAATTTAACATTTCAGCTGGCGATTTGTAATCCATGGTGGTACAGATGGGTTTTCAAGGCTACTAACAGTTTTGAATGTTAGTGACAATAATAGGTCTGCAACTGTTCTAGAATGTTTTGAAGAAGCTGTTGCTGAATACGGTTTGCCAGAACGTGTTAGATCGGATAAGGGTGGCGAGAACATAGGGTTAGCAGATTTTATGGTCAGACACCGGGGAGCTGGTCGTGGTAGTCATATCACAGGTCAAGGTGTGCATAATCAAAGGTATGATCTTCAGGGTTTTTTTTCTGGGAGCCGTGGTGGCTCAGTGAGTACGGTGCCTGCTGACCATGAGGCCTCGGGTTCAATCCAAGGCGTGAAAGATCCTCAGGATTTACCATCTGGCTTCCCTTTGTCAGTGGTGGGGTGGGTCTCAAATCCATACCGCCAACCGGCCCCTACCGCCCCAACCGGTGTTGTTAAATTTAAGGAAATGTGTCAAACACGAAGGGGTTCCCTGTGGCAAACATATCCGTGTGTCTTGGTTATATTTAAAGAAGATTGCGAACGGCGTGAGCCGTGAGCGGAGGATCGGTGTTATACCGGTTGGGCGGGTTGGCGGTATGGATTTGAGACCCACCCTCAGTGGTGTATTCAAGAGAGCAATTGACATGTGCTTCAATGTTTAATGGAAAAGCAATCAAATGTGCAATACTTTCTGTGCTGGATGGCCTTGTGGTCTAGGGTGTCGAGATCTAGATGGTCGGTCACCTCGGGATTGCAGAGTGGGTATGATTCTGGTTGTGGGTGTTTGTGGTTTGGAGATCTAGGGCCATTAAGTTTCCGTAAAAAGCAAAGATCCCTGCGCATGAGTTGAATTCAATTAAATAAAGGTACCATGGGTTCGAAATGAAATGAAATAGGGTTCAATGTCTTACTTTTCGAGACCTTTTTGGGCTAACGAAGACGGGCATATGCCATGAAGGAAATTTTGCCTGGACAGCTGGCAATAACTCGCCTACTCTTCTTAGATTTTCAACTGTCAGGGAGATTTAAACAAAATGATGTATTTAGAATTATCGCTGTGGATAACTATAGAAGAATAACATGAGAACTACATGTCCTTCCCCCTAATTCTTTTACAAGCCCTCTTTTTACATAAATTACAAGTATGCATTAAAATTATTTAACATCACCATTTTTGTTTCAGAATCGAAAGATTTTGGCGTGATTTATGGTCTGGATGTGTGTGTTACTTTTATAACATATTCTGCTATTTAGAAGGACAAAATATGTTAGATGTTTCAAGCGAATCAGACATGTATTCACTTCATTACATATATCTACCAAGAATTCAAAAGCATCTAGATGATTTTAGAGCAGCAAATATAAGAAGACCACGTAGAACTGAAAATAATAAAAGTCCACTTAAGTTATGGATAGGGGGTCAAATGATAGATACAAGAGAAAATCTTATTTCAGAGGTAAATAACTTAAACTCAATCTTTCTGATTGTGAAGTACACACCAGAATTTCATGAATGTCCGAAATTGATTAGCCTCAGGCCTGAAATCTGAATTATATCATAGAATCGAGACAACCCATGGGGCAAGTTTGACTAAATGTTCAGAGCTGTTAATGCACACTTTCTGCTCTGTTTCATTGAACATAACAGTATTTATGCATCTATTTCCACATAGGCGTTGCTCTTTATACTTCATAGAGTTACATTGCAAATATCTAGGTTCTCTTAAAGGTACAAGTCATAATTATCTATATCATTCAGCTTGCAAACCTATTACAATCGATGATGGACTGGGACATATTCAAATGCCAAAAGACTTTTCACTTTTCAAATCGATCCATATTATGAGTATCTACACAACTTGACACAGTTCTTTGTTAGGTTATTTGCATATGCACTCCAAAAAAAACTATTTGTGTATGCCGACATTCTCTTAAATACAGTTTTAAAGACCACATTTTAATAAATATTGTTCTCTATATCTCTAGGAGGACATTTCACTCTATGGATCAAGTCAGGAAGGTTTATGGACAGAGGAAGCCACAGACAATGTTGTACAAGTTCCAGATATGTCTTCATTATCGCCACAAAAGTTTGCTGACTTAAAGAACTTAGTGCAACCAATGGCAATATCAGAAAATCAAGGGATGGATTTATTTCTGATGACTAAGGAATTCGTAATTAACAACATGTAAACTTTGAAACAGTCAGTTCTATGGATATACTACTTCTGCGTTTATTTACATAGTAGTAGTAAAATGTGTTTAACGTTGTGGTATCGCAGGCAATTGTCCCTGCTGGAACTGACTCGGTTCCATAAGGTAGTGCACGACTGAACCATCTACTCAAGTTAATCGTGCATAATGACAGTCCATAACAGGGGCAAGGGAAACCATTGGAGGGGTACATATCTTTCATAGCCAGGGAGGATGAAATGAACTGGGATTTAACATCCTACTTGTTCTGTGCTAATGAAACAGACATGTGCCATGCAGTGTTCTTCTTTGCATCTCTATAACACTATTATTCATACCAAGAAGATATACAATCATGTTTATTAAGGAATGTTTTACAGGCAACTAATAACAAACAATAAAATCATAATCATTGAAAATTTACAACATATTTTAAGACAAATTCAGATTATTCAAAATCATTGAATACATATTACCGGAACATTTAGGTAAATAACTGAATTCACTAAGACCTTAATTGGAATAATGTCTTCAATTAAGTTACTTATAAAACTCTTAATGTATGTATTGTATGAATAAACTTTGAAAATATGGATACATTTTTTTTTTTTGGGGGGGGGGGGGACCCCTGTACATCTGTGTATAAGAAATATCATTTACATAATTATATTTTATGATATCAATTTCAAAAAAATGAAATTCAAGTAATTTTTGTATGGTAAATGTTCAATGATTCACATTGAAATTGTAATGGGAGAGTGAGAAAATGTATTCCATAACTCAGGTAAATTGTCTACTTCAGAGAAATTCAAATTATAGTATCTTTAATTAAAGACATGTAATGTATCTCTCAAATAAAAAACTAAAATAAAGAAAAAACATTTATATGATCAACAAATATTAGATTTGCATAAACGATGTAATTTTATCATAAAAATAAAAGAACGATTGGCACGCCAAAGTCAAACTATGCAGGGGCAATAATTGTAGGTTAATTTTTCATACGGATAATTCCTACACCTTCCCAATTCTAAAATTCTGAAATCAAATTGTGTCGATGCCATTATACAATACCGAAATATGAATTTGAAAATGCATAATCAAAAAGATCAAAAACCTGATCCCTGGTTTTATTTCCTGTTTGTTTGGGGAGAAAGAGTTTAACTGAGCAAGTGCTGCTTGTAGAGATAATTGATTCAGTGTCTACAAAGCAAAAGCAAATTTTAGGAGGAAGTTTATACCCGAGAATCGGAACTTCTGGAGATCCAGTCACAAACTGCAACAAACTTTGAATACCTGCAACCTCTTTCACATAATCAAGAAACAACCTATAAACGGCCATTTCAAACTGTCTGCCATTAGACCCCTCTTCAGAGAAATTAACTTCAAATAACTTTATTAAGCTTGAATACGTGAGAATATTCACTTTGGGACTGTTGACATCAAATAGCCTTAGAATCTCTTTCTTCTTAGAGCAAAGCTGGAAAATAAAATTAGTTTGACAGTTAATTAATATCAGACATAATTTTCTCATTTCCTGTAACACAGAACATTATAATAACTTGAGGGGATACCCGTCCTACGAACCCGGTTTTTGGCGACCATGTTGGATTAATATATAAGATTATAGAACTCGCCCTATAATCAATGTCTAATGTCAATCGGTTCAGCTGTTTTAGAGTTTACTGGTGTCCGACAGACAGACAGACATTCGTCAAATTATAGTATAGATGACATGTTGAACATAAGAGTAATAATAACACTAAAACCAAACTTATGATTTGTTAACATCATCATTATTCACCGTCTCCGCCTGTGGCAGATTGTGCACTAACATGAGACAGTTGCCTCCAAAGATTTCTATTTTGTGTGATCGGACCTGCCTCGTTTGGAAAAAATGTTGATTTTCAGTCAGATGAATTGATATAGTCAATCAGCATTTATTGTTTCATCAGAAAGGGGGATCCAAGGTGAAACAAAGCAAGTTCCACAAAATGCTGAATATTTTGACACAGCCCTTAAGATTATAAACTGTTGAATACTTGTATTTTACAAACCTGTAGAAGTCCTATTTTATCTAAGCCTTCACTGAAGAGTTCTTCTCCCTTATTCGAGGGAGATAAAAACACATCTGGATTTTTAAAAAGTGTAGGTACGGGACCACCTTGTAGAAGTGACAAGCCTAAAAAGAAATATAAAATGAAAAACAGCATTTAAAAACAAGCTTGCAGTTCAAACTCTTTCCTGTATCGAAAATTTTGATGTTTTTCAAGGATTTCAGGGGGAAGGGGAGTCGACAAGAGCAATCAGTAAATAAAACCTTCAGAGAGTAACATTTTACTACAAGAGCTCTTTAAGCTGATATATACAAACGATTTTGAAAGTCAAGGGCAATAACTCAGTCAATGAAAATCGGACAAACTCAAAATTTCGATAGGCTTCTTACTTATGCTGATATATACACAACCATAGCAAGTTTCATCCAAATATGTAAAGAACTTGGCATTGTACAGTGTCCACAAGGTTTCAAAATCAAGGGCAATAACTCAGTAAATAAGAATCGGAGAACACTCATGATCAATTCCATAAGAAACTGTACCCTGTGTCCAAAAGATTTAGAAAGTCAAGGGGATAACTCGGTAATTAAAAGTTGTCAAATATTCGCATATTGCCAACAGATATTTTGAAGTTAAAATCGCATCCGAGTTTCAACACTAATGGACTAGTGCAGCTTCAAAACCAGTACATGTATAGACTTACCAAGTAACAAACCAGCTGTTCGAAATGCATTTTCTTTCTCATACTTTATAAACAAGTCTTTTCCAATGTCCTTTTCTGTTATTAATATGCCATCCTTTATGAATTGGTCATTTAAATTGTGTACACATGATGTTAGAAACTCCTTTCTGGGTCCACCTAAGTCCAGTGCTTTTTCTCCAGTAAAAGTAACTTCTATTGGGAAGCTCATATCCCCAGCTTCCTTCAATTCCGAAAAGGCATCTTCTAGTATTCTATCCCTTGATACAAAAATATCCACCGTCTTTCCTTCCACTACCCCATATTCGTCAGTTATATCTAGCGGTCTTCCTCTCATGAACTATGATATGTACTTGTCAATAATGTATTCAGGATTTGTCACTTCAGACCTGGAATGAAAATAGCGATAACCATTGTAATATGCCCACAATCATAATGGCAGCCACGTCATTCGAGGGGGTCGACAAGAGCAATCAGTAAATGAAACATTCAAAAGTGACAAGTTTCATTCAATTCCATAATGAACTGTGCGTTGTACAGTGTCCACAAGATTTCGAAAGTGGAGGGCAATAACTCTGTCAGTGAAAATTGTAAAACCCAAAACTTCGTTAGCTTCTTCCTTATGTGGATATACACAACCATAGCAAGTTTCATCAAACTTCATAAAGAATTTGACTTTGTACAGTTTCCACAAGGTTTCCAAAGTCAAGGGCAATAACTCAAAAAATAAATATCAGAAAACTCTGAATTTCTAAAGGCTTCTTCCTTATACTCATATAAACCAAAATAGCATGTTGCATTGCCATTACCACAACAATTGTGGATAGACGGACGCACATACAGGAGCGACAACTATATATGCTCACATTAATGTGTGGACCTATAATCATAGTTCTCATGAAATGTCATGCTTGGGAATGACATGAACTCAAGATTAGATTCCAACTGACAACATCTTACTATAGCTAAACAGAATAATTATGTTATCTTCAATGCTGCTAAATTGGAATTTTTTAAATCAATTTTTTGGGTGCATTGTCAATTCATTCGAATAATATCAATTAACAGTCTTACATTTCCATCACTGTTTCATTCACACATCTCATCATGTGGCATTCTTCAGCGTGATTATCAGCACTGGCACACTGGCACAATCTTTCTTCATCAGCTTCATTACACAGTCTACAAATAGTTTTAATCAGAAAAATGACTTGAAGCAGCTATGTCAGAGATTAAAGACATAATTAATCTAAAGTGGACATTTTCCAAAAATTGTCCAAATCCGTCAATTCTACGCTAATGTGTGAGCATTCAAACATTATCACTGTTGTTTACATTTCGATATCGGAAAAAGACGAAGTTTTCCGGTCGAGACTGGATGATCGCATCTATATGTAATTTTTACTTTTTGGACTCATCAGGGCTTTTTGGTGACGTCATCGCACACCATCAATTTAATCGACTTAGCATTTGTTGACATATCGCAAAAAAATCCAAGTTAATCTGAGCGATCGATTTACTTTTGAAATTATAATTGCAAGAATCTCTTTATTAAATATTACTCTTTCGAATTAATCATCATATTAGCGTGTATTCAGTGATATAAGGTATCTGTTACATAGTGGCTTTAAGAATGCAGTAGCTTATATTAGATGACATAAACAAATTCTGCTAAAATATAAATTTCGAAGTTACGATGAAAAACAAGAATATTCTTAAAATTGAACAATTTCGATAATGAAGTGCATGCTGTCAAATTTAATAAACAGACTTTAAATTTCACTAACAATTTGTACTCATTACCACATTTTAACAACAAAAATGATTTACCCTTTGACAAGTTCTTCCTCATCTTCTATAAGGCTAATACATAAGGCAGCATGGTCTTCAATTGCATTCCTTTCGAAATCCTCGTTACAAACGGGGCAAGTTACTCTACAAAAGTGAATTTCATAGATCTCAAAAGTAAAACCAGATTATTTATTTTGGCTGATATGGTCTTGTGTCTCCCTAATTCTTACTCATCAACAAAAACGCATATTTTCTTTTGGTAAAAGCAGTTAAAAATAGCATCCTCCAATCTAACTATTAGTAGTAAGATGAAATAAACATTTTCATTCCAACAAACAAATTCTTTGATTGCTAATGAATCAGGTGTAAAAACTGTATATTTAAAGGACTAGCTACCTTTTCCTTGCCAGCCCCTTCGGCCTGTGCCACTTACAAGTGGAGCTGGGTTGGAAAATCCCGAGGATCTTATCCTGCCCAGGATTGAACCATGGATTTTAAAACCATGCATAAATGTGAACAATTTTAAACAAGAACAATATTCCAATACAAAACTAATTTGCTTACTTCTCTTTATTTATAGACAATTCTGGCTCTTTTTCCTTTAAATAGATTAAAAAGTAAAAATAATTATGTCCATAAATTTCATTTTTTTTATTAAAGGAGGTTTGCTGTGCTGTACTGTACTGTTAACGTGAGAAACTATTTATCAAACCAAAATTACAGAAAATTTCCACCTATCATAAGAAAAATTGACGTTGGGAAGATTTTACCATGAATAAATATGTATGATCTACAATATCAATCCAAAATCTAGCAACACAAACTAAAATTTGTCAGCAGCTCTGAAGAATAGGAATTTGAAAAAAACACAAAAATCAATGCCATATTTAAATGTTTATACTAAAAAAGGCAGTAAATGTTAAAGGAATATATACAATCCATATAATCCGATAAATCCATAAAACTAAGTAAGTTTTTCAAGTGTATATATTCCTTTAAATTATGGAATCAGGATTCAATTCTTTACTCAATAATTATTTCCAACTTACACATAAGAATGCACATATTGGTAATGACTTGGACAGTCTTCTTTTCTTAACAACTGGCAAATGATCATCTGGACTCTAAAAAGATAACAGTAAAAATTTCCCAATTTCAGAATATTTTTAACAACACTATTTGTAGAATTCACGATATATTTTCCTTTCAGGTTATATAACTGTATGCCGCAAATGAACGTATTCATGTATTTTCATACCCGTCTGATATTGAGAATGTACCACCCGAAACAAAGAATTACTGAATATTTGACCAAAACAATCATTTTTTAAAATGATTGCAGATTCAAGGAAACTAAAAGACAAAGATCAACACATACAGACATACTTTGTATTCACTGCAAACAAACAAACCACTGAACTGGTTTTGAACCAGTTTCGAAACTTTAAAACCAAACTCAAACTGGTTTACGCACAATGAATTCCCCATTAATGATGTTATTTTGATTGGTGGAGCTTAACTGTACCATAACTTAGTTTCTGTATAAATCATAGAGAAGTAGGAGAAGCTTTTCAAATGCAATAGACAGTATTATTAAAAAGTTTGATCTTTACAAATATGCGTGACAGTGCATGTATGTACATTCTTTGATCCCATTGGTTGACAAGTCAAATATCTCACCCACATTGACAGGTGTCAGTGTTACAAGTCTTTTTACAGGTCGCTTTTTTCATTTACACAGCAAACCATCTAGCCTGTAGAGGCCTCATGTTTTAATGTGTTAACGAATACAGTGGACCTGTTATAAATATAATTTAGATCAAATACTTGCCTTGCTGTTATGTTCTGAAATATGCACTCTCATATTAATAACAGGAATCAACTGTTCACACTGAATACACTTTTCCAATAAACAATCATCTGCAGGCTTAATAGAAAGATAAAATGGTCATTCGCACAAAACAAATTCAAAGCCAAATTGTAGTCCTGTAGATTTTTGTTGGATCATTCTTCTGAATATTGGAATAAATTCTAAAATTTTAGTAAAACTAAAAAGACATGAAAATAAATTAGAGTCTTTGATGAAGTTAATCAAGGGCAGGTAGATGGATGAGACAGTCAAAGTGTTGGATTTGTAACCTTGTAACCTATAGGTTGCGGGTTCGAGCCCTGAAACTAGCAAAGTCCTTTCATGTGTTCTCGAATAAGACTTAATTCCTATTATTCCAGTCTACCCAGATACCAAATAACTGGTATATATCGTTGGTAAATTCTCCCAGGAGAAGAGAATGAGCGCAGTGTGGTGCGTTCAGTGTCTTAAAGTCAGGTAATAATTTTACCTTCATCGAACTGGATATTAGACGTTAACAACAAAAATTTCTCTCAGGACTCAGGGAATATATGTGATGTCCATTATTCAACTAACTATTTCATAAATTTAATTCGAATATCACAAATTGAATTAAACTGGTGATGAACGAATTACTATTGAGTTATATTATTACTGTTATTAGTATCAATGCATTACATTCACATTACATTTTAGGAATACCAGTACTATCTTTCTCCTCCAGAAATATTAAGTTGACAATGATATAATATGGCCAAGAGGACAATAAATTATCATCAAAACTTACCTCTTCTGTGTCAATGTTTTCAAGAAGTTCTAGATCTTTCTGAAGTGGTCTTATATAAATTATAGATTGACCTATCACAGCATCCTCTAACAAATATTTCACGGAATATCCTTTATTTGCTGGTGGAATCAACTCTAAAGACTTTCGGCCACTGCTTCTCATAAGATCAAAACCCCCACCTTCTTCAAGCTGGTGATAGGCATTGTTCAGTTGTTTACGGAAGTACTCTGGGGAACTATTTTTTTCAAAATTCAAGATTTTTTCCCCCAAGTCCTCCATTGTGAAGTATTCTTTTGTCGTTCTTATCTGGGATGGTATCCTGAAATAACAACAATAAAATACATTATATGTACTACAGAAGACATGTAGTGACAAAGAGATGAGTTGATTGACTTACCCTAATACTGGGTACATGTAATACATGTACACTGTGGTAAATAATCAGGCAGCTACAAGTCATCCAGAGTCGAGACATCTAAATGTAGAAGTTGAGTCATCCAAACATAGGTGTTGCTGAAGTCAGAGTTGAACAAGCATAAGAGTTGTGTTGTCCAAATAATTTAGAGCTGTCAAGAAGTATCTGAGAGAACTAACAGTCAGAAAGTCTAAGATAAAGTGTTTAGTCAAATCCATCATTCTTTATGGAACCAGACAAAATAAATGAAAATTCTACAAAGTTACATAGATTTACCTGTACATGATTTGAAAGGCAAACATATTTATGCGTCCATTTTGAAACCAATGATCCCCTGTTGAGAAAGCGTTGTTTACCCTGTAGCTGTACTGTTGGAGGCCGAGGATACGGGGCAAATAATTTTCGGAATTCTGATACATTTGGACTTGGTGCTGTAAATGTTGTTAGAGGATTAACATTCATGTTGATTAAACTATTCGCCGCTTTCATTAAAGCTTCTGATGCTTCACGCATCATATCTTCTGCATTTTTCTGAAATGAAGAGTAGTCCACTCACTATCGGACACAAACGACTATCATGCATCCAGTATTAATAGGAATTTGATACCCTTTTTTTTTACACCAATGTAATACATGTTATGTTCAAAACAACCCCCATCTAATAGAAACTCGAAAATATTGTTTGTTTACTATAATCTTATAATAAAGCTAAACTACACTCAATCACATAAGAGCTTATCTACCTTGCATTGGCCTTGATTCATTATAATATAATATGCAGGCCCGTAGCCAGACTGTAATCAACGGCGCAATTTCAGGGGGGCATCAGGCCATGATCAAGGTAACCTTCACCCCTACCCCTTTCTAAATCTATGCATATTTGATGAATAATGGACATCCAGATCAGATGATCATTCATGATATTTAGTTAGAGCTATTTATTTATCATTCTTATTTATTATATGGGGAGCAGCAGTGGCTCAGTGACTACAGAGCTTGCTTACTAACCAGGTCCAGGTTGTTGATTCGATTCCCGGTCATAAAAACTCATGACGGATTCCCCTTCCTTGTCAGTCACAGTGGTGCAGACCCGAGCTGAAGGGCTGGCAAAGAATAGCACCTAGTCGTTTGGATGGGACGAAAAACCGAGGTCCAGTGTGCTGCATCAGGACAGGGCGCATGCTAAAAATCCCAGACAGTTGGAAATTGTTAGAGATACTGATAGTACTAGTAGTAGTAGGTCTAGTGATTCATTTCATAGACATAGTCTAGCTAGGGCTAGGCGAGTTATTGATGGATTTCCTGACAAAATTTCCCTCATTGCACCCTGCATGGTATATGCCAGTCTTCATTAGCCAATACAAAAAATACATCAAGATAGGACGTTAAACCCCATTTCATTGACCATGTGGTATCTACGGCGTCTACGCGTGAAACTATAACGACTGAACGAGTGTAGAACTGTAGTGTAGATAGTGCTACAATCTGACAACCAAAAAAAAGAAGAAAGACCTGTGTCACTTATGTAGTATATTTGTACGCTTATGTGCTCTAAGAACAAGTTTTTTGTGGAAGATATTCAAACATAAATATACCTGATTATTATTGTCCATGGCTACGATTGAACGATGTCACCAATGTGGAGCAGACGACAGGGCCGACAGAGGCGGTTCTTTATTCGAAACTATAACTATGCATTCAAAATTATGTTAACGACATGAACACCAGAAATGGTGAATTCAAGACACATACAAATAACAAAGAAAGCAAATTATTAAAAGTTGTATTAAAATTTAGCATAAAACAATATGTTAGTGTTAACTTCCGTTAAAAATTATTGATGCTCCCCATGCAACTTTCTGGTAGTAGGAATGACTTTCCTCGAAGGGTAGCCTCGGTCATCCAAGCCCGTTAGTCGAGGGAGCTATCGCGGAGGAGCCATATTGTCTGGATGACCGAGACTACTTGAAGGGAGGTTTTGTTTTTATGACGCAAGCTTCGGCTAAAATCGGAACCACGCCTTGATGGATGTGACATGTGGAGAAATTACATTGGAAGAAATTACATTGGAAGAAAATACCGATGTCGAAGTTACATATGTCGATTATGCACTAGTAGAAATTACAACAGTTGAAAGATCAGATGTAGAAAATACAAACGTTACAAGGCGCATTTGTACATGTGTTTTTTCGTTAGTGGACAATACTTTTCTATTTTGTAAAATCGAACATGGAAAAATCATCAAAACAACACTTTCATATGCTGACATAGTAACTTCTACTCGTGTTTACATGTCTTTTAATGTGGCGTCGATCCCCTTCCATAGGATAGCGATATCATCTAGGGTTGATTATTGTCTGGATAGGTTAATTAATGTCTAATTAATAATTTAGATAACATTTCAGGCCTAAAGAAAGACCTGCATTAGACAGATTTAGCTCTTGCATAATGTATGTTTAATGTTGGCAATTGTTTTCCAAACAATTTTTGTGGCCGTTTTAGACACCCACCTTTTGTAATGTATACTGAAGTTTATATTATTTGGTTTGAAATGTTTTGATCATTGTGTATTATATAAATGTTGTTTATATTATTATTATTATTATTATTATTCCACATTTGTCATTTTAATCAATAGCCTATTTCTATTCACACCGGTGCTTGTCTATCATTCAGACAAAATGAGCCATTACCGAGTAAGGTAATCTTAAAAATATCTTTAGCTGTGTGAGAGTTACTGTTTTTATCTTAAACGTAAGATCCCTTGAAGATATAATTGTACAGAGTGAATATTGGCCAAAATATATATTATTAGTATAAACGGAAAATACTTTTTTGTGTGGTACAGTGTACCATTCAACTAATTAAAACACGGTAAGTTGTATGGAGGCCATGATGGCACGGTCAGTAAAGCGCTTGCACGCTAATCTTGAGATCCCATGTTCGAAACCGGTATCAGCCGAGACGGTTCCGCGGAATTTAACGACACCCCCTCCCCCTTGCCAATGTTACAGGACGAAGGGCCTGGCAAGGATAGGATTCTGATCGTTCGACGGGAGCAAGAATCCTAGAATCCCGTGTACACATCGACGTGCATGTAGAGAACTGGGGAAATGTCTCTTAGAGCACACTGTATGGGATATGCCCATCTTCATTGGTAGGACGCTAAACCCAAGTTCATTTCATGTATTACAAAACTGGCATGTGTTTTGTTAAAGTTATTGAACTCTTTAAATCCCTATTCAAGGTTATATGAAATATATATTTAAAGGGGCATTAGGTAAGATTAGATAAAGAGCTGACAGTTCTCGCTGTAATAGATAATAAAAATGGAATATGTTGAAAATTTATGTCAAATTACTATGAACCTAGACAACAGTATAGTCTCGATAGTCATTGCTACCATTGTTACGATAATGAACCAAAGTCTCGATTATCCATTTTTCGGTTATTTCATCAACCGGAAAACGTATTTAAATCTGCTTAATATCGGATCCATCCGATGGCACCGAAAGTTGATTATGATCTTGATAAGTTAATTAATGTGTATTTAATAATTTATATAACATTGAAGTCCTAAAGAAAGACCTGCAATAGCCAGATTTAGCACTTGCATTATACATGTTTAAACTGTGCTTACACGAAATCTTACTTTAAAAGTTACAAATGGTTCATAACACTGCCGCCAGGAACATAAGCAGGACTTCCAGAAGATCACATATAGCCCCCGTTCTGAAAGAACCTCGCTGGATGCCAATCGGTTCTAGAATAACATTTAACATGTTGTATCATGTGTTTAGATGTTTATATGGATCCAACCCCACCTACCTATCTGAACTTGTACAGCTCTACATACCATCACGAATCGTTATCAACCAAGATCTGATAGATGTGCCAAAATTTAAATTACAGGGTTGTGGTTATAAATCCTTCAGATATAAAATGAAATGGAATGAAATGAAATAGGTTTTAACGTCTTATGGTTCTGCTCCTAACTGGACTGATGAAGACGGGCATACGCCATACAGTGTGCTATGAGGAATCTTATATCGGATTCAAACTGTCAAGGGATCTTTTACGTGCACGACAATGTGTACACGGGACCTCGATTTTTCGTCCCATCCGAACGACTAGACAGCTGCCCTTGTCAGGCCCTCCGTCCTGCGTCACTGACAAGGGGGAACCACGCCGGAAAATCCTGATGAACTTTCTGGGCCAATGCAGGGATCGAACACCCAATCTCCAGGCTGGTGAGCCAGCGTCTTACCCACTTACCCACCGTGACCCTCCCCTTCAGATATAACACACCAATTTTATAGAAAAGCTTACCACATAGTGATGAAACTTCAAGCCCACTCGAAGCTTTTAAAGAAAATGTCATAACTATTTTGTTTATCTCTGAACCGAAGTGATCGGGTTACTAGTGTGTCCATTGTGCAGGCCCGTGGCTAGCAGGCGTGGGGGGAGGGGCAAGGGGGCAGCCCAACCAATGTCACACATTGTGGTCGTTGGCTTCGCATTGCGTCCAATGGAAAGGGCGCGGTTCGGCGCTCCCCGCCGCCCCCCCCCATCCCCGTTAGCTACGGGCCTATAGTGTAACGCGTAAAGATACGGCGCCTTGAGCATGTGGATGGAACAGACGCAATATAAATGGCGCAAATTTGAATTTGTTCTTAATTATGGATCTTCTAGTTTGGATTCACGTATTCAAACCCAACTCAAAATTGTCATAATTCGATCAGATATTGCATATATGATCATTTGGGGGGGGGGCTGTATCATAAGGCCTGTCATTGAGTCAACTGGCGTGGCTTCGAATCCCCGGTTGTACGTGACAAGGAGTAGAGTCGCCTGTCCAACCTCGTGGGTTTTCTTCGGGTCCTCCGGTTTCCTCCCACTGCTAAAGACCCCTACGCACAAGCGAATTATTGAAAAAAATTAAACCATATGTTAGTCCCGAAATGACCTAGTTTGTGTCGAGCGGACGTTAAACCCCATTTTTCTCTCTCTCTCATATATGATCATTCAGGTTTATAAAACAGTCTAACTTTCTTTTATTTGACACTCAAATTATTCAATGAAACATTCTAAAATAAACATAAACATAAAAAAGACAGCATTGTTAGGGTGACCCACCATAAATAAATATCTCCATATATCTCGACAATTTCGCCACAATATTTATATATATGCCAAGCCTCAAATCAGTTTCACACAATTATAGTCACTAAATAAACGATCATGTTGTACTTAATAAGCTATGACCATTAATCATGTATAAATAATAGACTGAAAACTGGTTCCATGTGTCGTCCATAACATCCAGACACTTTTGAGTAAAAGATAGGTTACGTGCCCTTGTTTTAAAATTAGTCTCGCTTAACCAGTCTATCGACCATTCTAGGGCTGATTGACAGGTCGGGATAATCAAGACTACTTTTTTACGAAACATAACAGAAAGCTAGAACAAGAAATTGAATTTAGAAATGAGCACGTTAGCTAGCTCAACAATTGTTTTAAGAAGCTTGTAAAAGTAAAATGAAACTACTGATAGTATCATGTTCCTGTCTAACCCGAGTGTTTCAGAGATATTATTTGTACTAAACCAAAAGATGCCGCTCTTAACGGTATAGTTAATGATAAAGCGATTTAAAAAATGAAACGAACGTAATTTCTAAATCTGCTGTAATAACCAAGAAGCTTAATTTTACTGCTTTCAAAATCGTCAACAATAATTTTTTTACGGCTGTAATAGTTGATAGATTTGTAGAGAATTGCACGTGCCATGGCTATTTATAGTATCATACTGTCAGAAAGTTGGCCTCGACACGGCGAATGTGCACGCTTCAGTGGTAGTCTCGAACTATCAGCGGTTGACTGTATTTCTGTAGGTGCGTGGGTCACCCTACAATGGCATTGTTTAAAACAAATTTAAGTATTTTTAGGCATCATCGTACACATAATACATACAGATGATGTAAAATACACATTATGGACAACAATTATTATGGTTTATTACACTACAGCGATTTAATCAGATTTCATGCAAGTCGTCATCAAACATATAAACACAAATAAATAACATTAAATGGTGTTGGTTTGTAGGGCTTAAAGCCGCTTCCACCGAGGTTGATATCGTAGACAAATAAAGTCATAAGGCAGATGGTTTGGGAGGCTTAACGTCCACTTCTGACAAGGGTGAGATCGCAGACAATTCTTCTTCTTCTGAGGCTTTACGGGGTTAATAATGCAGACAAATCTAATGCGAATTATTCTTTGTATATACCCATAATATAGAAACATGATAAGATAGTATATACAGAAATTAAAATATTGAGGAAAGAAACACAGTAGTATGCATGCGGCTAGCGTTTTGCCTATTCCCCTATATTCATTTATAGTGAATAAAATATATCTTTAAAAAATTATAAATAATATATATATAGTTAAAAATGCATTATGTAAGATTTAGATAGAATGATGATCGTTCATGTTATAATAGTTACAAAAAGAAAGATAATGATCATTGAATATATTCTGGGCGAAGTTATGACTGTTTGAAGATGCAGCGTAGATCGTTTATTATCGTATCAAGGGTCCTTGACAAGCGAGATTTAATCTCGATTATCATTTTTATGGATAAAGTATTGAATCTCGCGGATGGTCAAATCTATTTAAATCTCGGCCATTCGATGTTCTAGTGAGTTGTCATGTGATAAATGTCTAAATAATAATTTATGTAAGATTTGAAGCCAGAAAAAAGACCTGCAATAGGAAGATTTAGCTCTTATATAATGCATCTTTAAAATAAATTCGACAGTAGTTGCTGTATTGTGTTGCTATGGGAACTATAGTAACTTGGCATAAAAACACAAGACTAAAAGACAATATATTAGTTCAAACTGTTCTAAAATCAGTCAATCTCAACATAAGCTTTCCTTTAGTTCTTTCCGTTTTGATTGCCTCCCACGACTACTTTCGTTGCTTCTCCCTAATGAGATACGGATGATCTGATTTCTGTCCTAGGTGGTTATTGGATTTCTTGGTTTTCGCATGCCTTCATCTAAGAAGTTCCAACACAGGACTGATGATGACTAAAAAGGTTCAGTTTGCTCAGCCCGAAGGATTGCATCATACACACATTTTATGCGATCTGGAGAACATAATTTGGTTAATATTGTACTTGGTATTGATAAAAGATGAATTCCTATCCAGTCGGCGTCTCTCTTCTTTGACATCTTGCAAGAGGTCAAGTAATACTATGGACATTATATAGATGGACAGGCAACGAGTCTTGTTTTTTTTGTTTTTTTAAAAAGCAACACTTTTATTTACGTCATTATTTACAAGTATATGTTACAACATTTATTTATATTGTGCTTTATAAACGCTTAATTACAAGGGTCCCTTCTGTACACAGATCTAAGTACATAAATCCATCAATGAGGAATCAGTATGGAGGGTGTCTTAAAAAGATATTTCCATTTATTTATGTATAGTTCCGGAGATATCTCAATCTCCAATTTAGCATGTTCTACTAAAAAGCTTTCATACTTATTAATATTCAGTATTTCGTTTCGTAGTTTAGTCCGATATATATAGAACTTAGTTAAAATAATTACATGATTAATGAAGATCCATTCAGTATTATTTATATAATCTGGTTTGTTAGTTAAACCAAGATGTTTGATATGTGTTTTTATATCTATCTTTATATTGCTGCGATCTAAAATGGTATGAAAATGATTCCATATTATTTGTGAAAATGGGCAGAAAACAAAGAAATGTTCTACATTTTCTATATTAGATTCACAGAAAGTGCAGAGTGTGTTATCTACTTTTCTAGTTTTGAATAATTTATCATTTGTGAATATAATCCTATGGAAATATTTGTATTCAAAGCTTCTCAGTTTTGTACTAAGACATACAGTGTTTATTATTTTAAATGTGTTTTCTACGTCTTGATCGCTTAACTCGGTATTTAGAATGTATTCCCATTCTGCAATGGCTCTTGGCCTGCTGAACTTTGCTTTTATCCGGCTATCATAAATATCTTTTGAATCCACGTTGTAAAAACCGGTATTATATATTTTGTAAAAATTAGTATTTATATCTTCCAAAGGAGTTATATTACAATTAAAATTGGTATGTATCGCACTTTCAAATTCGTTCGGTTCCTGTACATACCTCAAAATACATTTTTCTATTCCATTTAAGATAAATTGATGTTTTTCTAAATATTGAGCATCGATCTTATTTATTTTATCAACATATTCACTAACATACCAAATATTCTTGTTAAAAAAAACTTTTAAAAATATAATTTTATTATTAATCTTTATATTTGTATTATTCCAAATAATTTGATTTTTAGCTTGGACAATGTTCTTTATATGTGTTGTGTAAATTTTATACCAGTTGTCATAAAGGTTTTTATAAAAAGGAATGTTTAAATTTAGCTTTTCTGGAAAGTTGCAAGCAGGTAATAAATTTCCACCATATTCAGCCATAATGAATTCATATGGTATGAGCCATGTTTGAAAGGGTGACTGGTATATTTTTTTAATCCAAAAAATGCTATTACATATTAGGAATTCTTTTAAGTCAATCATTTTTAATCCGCAATTTTTATTGTTCTGTATAAGAATATCTCGCTTTATTCTATCAGGTCCGTTCCATAGAAATTTGTAAAATATTGAATTTAGTTTTTGAATAGTAGAGTCCGACACTGGATTAACAGTTGCCGGGTAAAGAATTTTTGAAATACAAAATGTTTTAATTATTTGTATTTTTCCAATTAAAGATAATTTATGTTTATCCCATATTTTTAATATTTGTTCTATTTCATTTATTTTATTTGTAAAATTTAACTCATCGGTAATATGAGTGTCTTTTGATAAATGTATCCCGAGAATTTTTATGACTTTTTCGCATAAAACTATACCGGTTGATTTTAATTTTTGCATTAAATTCATATCACAGCTGTTTAAATCTATAGCCTCTGTTTTATTAACGTTAATTATAAGTCCTGAGACTAAACCAAAAAGTCTCAGTATCTCAAACAAATGACGCGCAGAGCTAAAATCTTTTAATAATGCCGTTATATCGTCAGCAAAAGCTACAACTTTTATGGTTTTACGTCCAAATTTTATTCCATTTATATTTACATCGTCTCTAATAGCGTATAGTAACAATTCTATGATTAAATTAAAAAGATTGGATGACATTGGATCGCCTTGTCGAACACCCCTTTTTACATGAAAATAAGGGGTTGTAAATCCATTGTTTATTACACAACAGGTGATATTCTTGTAAAGGGTTTTTATCCATCTAATAAAATTACGCCCGAAACCGAACGACGATAAAGCTTTGATTAAAAAATCATGATTTATGCTGTCAAAGGCTTTTTTGAAATCTATAGCTAAAAGAAAGCCTATTATTCTTTTTTGTTTTGCAAGATCAAAACAATCGGAAATAATACGTGTATTTTCATGAATGTGGCGACCTGGTATAAACGCGGATTGATTAGGGTGTATTAACTGGTTCAAAAATGGTTTTAATCTGTTCGACAAAACCTTGCTCACCAACTTCACATCGACATTAACAAGCGTAATGGGCCTCCAGTTAGTTAAGCATGTTCTATCTTTATTACCTTTAGGAATGAGTTTAATAACTGATTGACGTTGTGTTACGGATAAAGATTCTTCTTCAAAGCTACAGTTATATGAGTCTAATAATAATACATAAATATCAGGCCAAAAATGTCGATAAAATTCAATTGTGATACCATCGTTTCCTGGAGATTTATTTATTTTAAACGAGTTTAAGGCCTTCTGAAGTTCGAAGTAGTCAATTTTGAATTCAAATAAATCTTTCTGATAATCATTTAGCCTTTCTACAGGCCTAAAATTTGTTATAAAATTACTTTCCCTTTCAAAACACGAATCTCTCGACGCATATAAGTTTGTATAAAATAAGAATATTTCTCCCGATATTTCAATGGGGTCAAATATAATAGAATCGTCAGATTTTCGGAGCTTTTTTATTGTAGTAGCACACTTTCTTTCTTTTTCTAAGTTTAGAAATAATTTTGTGTTTTTTTCACCGTTTTCATACCAGTTTTGTTTGGACCTAATAATTGCTCCTTGTGTCTCGTAACCAACGAGTCCTGTTGGTTGGTTTCTCTGCCGCTCGCGCGAGACACGACGAGATCTCAATGTCAAGGGCAAATCAAGCGATGTGATCTTTAACAGTGCGAGATTTTATACAGATTTTATATTACTCGAACTCCTCTTTAGATGTTACGGTATTCTTATAGTTACATGGTAATGTTTCAATCCGATAAGTATTCCTATCCGGTAGTGACGAATTTCTCCAGTTTAGAACTTTGAAATTTCCAAATGCAGCAGTTGAAAATTGTGAAATGATCGATTTCAATATTTTCGTAGTTTTTGTAAGCATAATGGTTTTGCTTAATACTCCAAATTCCCGCAGGTATAAAGGATTTTAAAATTATGAAAATAATGATCAGGTATAATACTATCCGGAATGATGATTAATTGTGCAGAAGTAAAAATTAAAGAGTGTTTTAGTAGGTTTGTTTTTAAAGAAAACTCGACATGTTTTATCGGATTCACATGGGCGAGTTCGAAGTAAACAAAGACGATGTTTTGATACATTTACACCCCAATCATCAGTTAGTAGTCTATCTATGTATGGGTTGCAAGATTAAAAAAATATTATGAATTGATTTCTGTTTCTTTGCTTTTAAACTTAATACTGGTAATTGCGCGATGGGAGGTAATTTTACTTTAGTCACGGTTGTCCGGTCTATTTTTTTGCCGCGCCACAGAATTCTAAAGGCTTCGTGGATGTTGCCTGTCCATCTATACACGTGGTAATACATCGGCAACGATCTGGTCATATCAACTCGGTATTTCGGGGAGGACAACTCTGTACAAACTTTGAAATAATAATAATGGTAAGTCCTTATATCGTGCACAATTCCATCAAGGTGAGATCTCCATTTTAACAGCTTCTTAAAACAGTCAAGAGAAAACGAATTCTATATGGTCAAGAGTGATGAAGTGCATAGGTTTGGAACAGTTTATTGGAAGCATCTTTGACCGAAAGACGTAGTTCGTGTTGGGATCAACAATCAAGACATAACAGTTCGCTTATGAATATCACAAGTGACAGTGGAAATAGTTGAAATGTAATGAAATAGGGTTTAACGTCCTACTGTTCTGTCCCTAATGGGATAATGAATATGGTAAAATGGTTGAACTGTCGTTAGTTAAAAATGGGATGAAACTAAAATGGCCACCAGAAACTGGAACTGGGAGGCATTTCAGGTGCACTTCCGACCAATCTAATTAAAATACATGTACAGATCTATGTTTCGTTTCGGTTTTTTATACTTTCGATGGCCTGCACTATATGAAGATCTGACAAGTTGTACTATAAGGTCGTGTCAGGGGTCGTACAAGCGGCTTTTGACCCTATGACGTCATACATTGACTAATCAATCAGCGTTGGCGTTTCTAGTGGTTTACTCACAGTTCCGTGCATGGCACGCCAAGACGTCGTCGTAATAGACTGTTTCATTGGCTTATCCCATCACTTCAACCAAAACGCCGGTAATATAACAACTCTTCTAGATCCTAGTGTTTAAAAGACAGGTTACAACGAAATTTTGAACTATAAAAATCGAAACGAAACAGGATCTGTGTTTTAATCAGATTGATTTCCGACATCCACTTTAATATTGGTAAACAGAGCATGCTTGACAATGGTGACTACCTTGGTCTTTGAGAAAACTATATTGAGTCCATCGTTCCAATTTTCCCGCCATTTATCAAGTCGTTTGTGTCTGTAAGTCAATAATAGTATATCATTATATTGTGTAGATCAAATGGCTGACAATATATAGGGAATGGAGTGAAACTATTCTGCTCCGACTGAGCTAATGAAAACGGGCATACGCCATACAGTGTGCTTTAAGGGAAATTTTGCCAGGACAGCGGCGCTACGGTCTACTCCTATATCGAATTCCAGCTGTCAAGTATACCTTTACGCGCACGCCAATGTATACACTGGACCTCGAATTTTCGCCATATCCAAACGACTATACGTTTGTGCCCTACAGGTAGCACACAAACTACACATTGTAAGCAATAAACAAATTATATAAAATCAATGGGTCCGCCATTCTGCACACAGAAATCCATCTAATTCATACTTTGAATGGCCGCCATATCCAAAAATTAGTATATTGTTTTGTAATACGGTTGTACTATACGTTTCGCATCTGGCATGTAAACAAAGATTAAATAAATAAATTCAATTCCATTAAATATTTCTCAAAATTCTCGAAGTATACTTCGATTTAAGACTATAATATGTTGGTCAGCTAGCTTAGTGTCTGTTCTCAATCGGATCTAATTGTAGGTAGGCAGTCTAAGTTTAGTATGTAAATCTGGGGGCCAGCCGTATGCGTAAACGCAACATCATTTAAATTTCAAGGTGACAAGAACTTACTTACCGTATTGGAGATTTATGTGATTTTAAATGTTTTATCATAGTGTATCGGCCTATAGAATTAGGCGGCCGGGATATCAACATTCCGGAACTGATTATTCTGAAAATAAGATTAGAGATGGGATTGAAAAGGTCTTAAAGTCCGACCGTTCTGTACCAACCAGGCGAATGAAGATGGGCATACACCATGCAGTTTACTATGAGGGGAATTGGCTGACCAATATGCAAATTTGATATATGCAAATTGATTTTACTGGTCAGCCAATCGAATTGCAGTATTTCTTAAAATTTCGATTGTATCTTAGTTTAAGTTTTCGTGAATAAGGGCCCAGACAATACAGAGATTGAACCTGCGACCATCTAGCTACTAAACCAACGTCACCGTGGCGCCCAAACAAGATTATAGCTGATGAAAAATGATGGAAACATGGTTGTAAAAGTTTTTAAATTTACATTTGCGACATTTTCAAATATGTTGTGACAATCAGCCTTCTTTATTCCATTCATGCATGGCGTGTGTGACCCAATGGTTTAACGTATGTGCTATAGATCACAAGGTCTGTCATTGAGTCCAGTAGCGTGGTGTCAATTCCCCGCTTGACAAGGTGTTGGGTCGCTTTTCTAACCTCGTGGGGTGTTTATTCGGCTCCCCCGGTTTTCCCCCACTGCTAAAGACTCCTACGTGCAAGCGAATCATTGAAATAAAGTTGAACGATATGTTAGTTCCGAAATTACCTAGCTTGTTTTAACCCCATCCCTCTCTCTCTCTCTCTCTCTCTCTCTCTAGTCACACCCTATATAGATTAGTGTGGGGCCAACTGTTAACGCACCGATTGTGCTTGATTGATTTTAATATCTAATAGAATGTGAAGGTACACATGTAAGCGATACCCTAACTTATTATATATTTAATCGCTTTTGTCTAAAGAACATGCAAGGAACAAAACATGCGAAACATTTGTTTCTGTGTGTTAATTTGACAAAACTGGATTACGTGTGGGTTTGAGTGTATGTGAAATAAGCTGATCTCTTACAGGGAATTTTGAAAAACAAAATATACAAAGCTCTTTTGTGCGAACGTCAGCATCATCACGCTATGTCAAACGTCCCTCATACCCTCCGTAAGAACTCCCTACTTTGGCGCTCGTGAATGGGCTTCGTCGAGGTTCACAAGTCCGTTTGTTTGACACTTTATCTCAACTGCCAGGCTGCATTTCCGGCAGCCTGTTTTTCAAAAATTTCTGGGGGAGGCCCCTACCCCTAGTTGTAGCTCATGCCTTTGCCCCCTTAATATTGAACTTTGTTCCATTTTTGCCCCTCCAACCACCGGCGGCTGGCGCCGCCACTGCTCAAGGCCTGTCCCGTATTTTATATAACACATATTCTCTCTCCCCCTATCTCTCTCTCTCCCTCTCTATCTCTCTATCTCTCTCTCTATCACGTATAACACAAGAATCACCTGTTAGCTAAGACGTGATAGAGAGAGAGATCTCTCTATCTCTCTCTCTATCACGTATAACACAAGAATCACCTGTTAGCTAAGTCGTCATCTTCAGCTCCCCATCCCCAGTAGCCATTAGAATAACCATTTATCCTCAAGAAATTCCTTGATCTTATGGCGAGGACTCCGCCAACCAATTTATAGTACTTCAGACTGAAATTGAGAACAGTAAAATTTAAACCTGATCCATTGAAGGAGACTAGCTTCGAAATGGGGCTAGCTCATTTATGAAACTTAAACAAGTTCCACTGAAGGGGACTAGCTTCTAAATGAGAGTAGCTCTCCACCTCAAATAATCACCCTGTTGCTATTACGTCCACTACATTGTTGATTTAAGAATAGTTCACCCGCCTTGTTTAGAGGAACCGGAAGAAGTTTACAGTTAACATGACCCAGCATTACTCCGCTTACATTACTGTCTAAACCGGTGTAAACACGTCACACGTTATCGCTCCGTTCTGAGAACGGTTCCTAACTGGACCACTCAAGTGATGTGGCCCCAAAACCGCACTGATAATGTTAAAATTTCGGGTTGTAAAACAGCCGTACGGTGGCGGATTTAGGACACGCAAAAAAAAATAATATCTCGAGCGCTCGAGATATTAAGTCGAGTGCTAGAGATACTAAGTGGTGCGCTTGAGATATTAAAGTAAAGCGCTCGAGATACTAAGTCGAGCGCTCGAGATAATACAATCGAACATGTCTCAACCGATGTTTTAAGCTGTATAATTTTGTGCATTATTTTTAAATTGATAAACTTGCAGAATAAAGATATTCATTTGTTCGTTGTTACAGTCCATCCAAAGCTGCAGTGGCGGAACGGTTACCCTCTCCCCCACCCACCCACCAAACACACAAATTCCATCCCATGCTCATCACCACCACTAAGTATTTACCGTTGTATTTACCCACTTCCATGTGGGGAGTATATCGCATGTTATTATACGAATCAATAATTGTATATATCAAGATTACAGAGTTTTACTAGGAGAGATTGAGATTTCCTCTTATCTAGAAGCTCAGGTCTGATCCAAGGATATTTGTTTCATATGCAGGAACTGGGCATTGTCTAATTTACCCTGGCGCAAGTGGCGCGATCGATGGGCTTCTACACCCCCCCCCCCACGCCCCGCCCCGCCCCGCCCAGCCGGTCCTTACATCGGTTGAAGCGCTCTCGACTTAGTATCTCAAGCGCTCGACTTTGTATCTCGAGCTAAATCAGCAACCGTACTATCGCGTTGCATCGGGTATTTTCAAATTAGATTGCAACCAAATTTGGCACATATCTATCAGGCCACCACTGATATACAGACAATAACAAAAGTTTCAGTGATCTTGCACTCACCTATAACCCATTTCATCTACTGCTGGTGACAAGTGACGGGCGTAATCATCACACATATACAGATTTTGGTCATTTTCTGGAATCATGTCAACATCATGGAAAATAAAACAATCAAAGTCGGTAATCCCCAAGGCTTCTATATAACCTCTGTTCAACAATCGTCCTTTGTTAAATAGACCATTGTTAACCTAGTAATAGAAATAACAACACAACATCAACTTCCCTCTCTTGTGTCGCGTGGACCCGCTCTCTCTCTCTCTCGCTCTCTCTCTCTCTCTCTCTCTCACACGTATAACACAAGAATCCTCACCTCCCCAGTAGCCATTAGATTAACTCTGTGCGTGTTAAGGAATAGGGTCGCCTGTCCAGCCTCGTGGGTTTTCTCCGGGTCCTCCGGTTTACTCCCACACCCATACGGGCATCTCCCCCCCCCCCCCTCTGCGATCTGTAAATTACCTGTTCAACTACAAATATTGTATATCGTAATAGTTGTTTAGTCAGCATATTATGTAATCTATATAATAATATCTTCAGATGTTCCAACCGATCTTTATATGGTATTATTATGGCAAGTTTCTGGCTGGCTTCACAGTTACTTGGTTTGCCAACACCCCCTTTCATAACATGTGTGTTAGCAGAGATAGCTGTTGAAAATTCTGGCACAAATGATGGAATGGGTTCAACTTGACCTGAAAAAAAGATTGCAAGAGTCCAATATAACACTTCTCTATCTTTGATTTTGGATATTAAGGTTTTAACGTCCTACGCTTCTGTCCGGGCTAATGAAGACGGGCATACGCCATGTTGTGTTCTATGGGGGACATATTTGCCCGGACAGCGGCGCTACGGCCTTCTCTTTATTTCGAATTCCAACTGTCCGTACAACTGGGGAATCAAAACCACGCCAGTTGACTCAATGACAGACCCGGGTGTGTGTTTAGACACCAACGCGCGCCACAATCTCTAGGCCAAGTAAGAAAATATCTGTGTTGACGATTACTTTGCCTCTAAAAAATATGGTTGGTTGGTTAGAAAATCTTTTTATTTGTATTATCTATCTCCTAGCATTTCTAGCTTAATTTCTGGGTAAGATTATTGACAATAATATCGAAATATCACAGAAGATCACAACAATTAATAATTGTATATATCGAGATTACAGAGTTTTGCTAGGAGAAACTGACATTTCTTCTTATCTAGAAGCTCAGGTCTGATCCAAGATTATTTATTTCAGATGTAGGAACTGGTCATTGCCTAATTTACCCTGACGCAAGTGGCGCGATCGATGGGCGTCTACATTCACCCCCCCCCCCCCCACACACACACACACACACACCCACACATACACACGCGCGCGTAAAAGATCCCTTGACAGTTGGAATTCGATAAAAGAGTATCAGCAGAGTGTCAGCGCTAGGGAAATGAAAGACAAAAGTTTATGTTTGGCGATTGAGGCTAATAAAAAAGGGGTGGGTAGCATAACTGTCAGGTATTTCTATTTTTTATATTGTATTGGCCTTACAGTAAATTATCACCTACCCAACTGATGTAAATCTACCCGACACTTTCCCGCCGGTGGTATCAAGGAGGCTGGCGAGGTATAAACACAAAAACCACAATACATTCCAAATAGTAATTTGCATATCCAACAGATACCACAACAGAAAAAGAATTTGCTTTTATGAATTAATAACCACCTCCACCATTTTTTTGCGAGTAAATACATTTGAACACGGATTTGAGAACATTCTGCAACAAAAGAAAGTTTTATAGTGAAACATACATTATGCAAGAGCTAAATCTGTCTATTGTAGGTCTTTCTTTAAGCCTGAAATGTTATATAAATTATTAATTAGACATTTATTAACATGGAAAGACCTTAATCACCTCTCGATGACATCATATGCGTCGGATTTTCACTGGATTTGAATCCGATCTGCTGCTCAACGCTCATTGGTGATTAAATCAAAAAATGGATAATAGAGACTATATTTTCAGTAATCGTTAATATCTCGGTTCAGAGTGGAGCAATTTGACTGAAATTTTCAGCATATTCCCTTTACATTATCTAGTTTTTAACTATTATATTGGGAACTGTCAGCTGTTTATCTAATCTCCCATAATGTCCTTTAATATTTTTCTATTTCGTTCCATGTGCCCCAATACACAGAAGGGAGCCATGGTGGCAAAGTTCGCTCCCGGTGATGGCCGAGAAAGTTCATCGAGACTTTCCGGACTGGTTTCCCCTTGTCAGTGGTGCATGACAGAGAGGCCTGACAAGGACAGTTGTCTAGTCTTTCGGGTGGGACGAAAAACCGAGGTCGCGTGTACACATTGGCGTGCACGTAAAAGATCCCTTGACAGTTGGAATTCGATAAAAGAGTAGACCGTAGTGCTGTCCGGGCAAAATTTCCCTCATATGCCCGTCTTCATTAGCCCAGTTCGGAGCAGAACAGTAGGACGTTAAACCCCATTTCATTTCATTTTCTGATTGGATAAATATTGTTAGAAGAAAAAAAAACATCGTAGCTATCTGATATTTTATATTTTATATATAATGTCAATATGACCAATAAATAACTTACATAAAAAGTCTAAACACACTATATCTGACTTGGGGCTTTTACAAAACAGTATACACACTTTAGCTATTGACACTGCTTTCGAGTATTTACTATTACTACTACTAATATTATACCTCCCGAAATTCACCAATACAAACGGATTAGAAAAAATATGATAATGTTTGCACTACTAAATCAGGGTTTAGGAACAGATTTTTAAAAATGTGCATACGTGCCTACGTATCTTTTTGAAATATCGGTAGCACATTTAAAATTGGCAAAATGCCGAGATCATTTATTAAGGTCTGAATTAATATAGACAATTTCCTTAGAATCTTAACTGAATTTTTCCACTTAAAGATACATTATGGGAGATTCGATAACGAGTTGGCAGTTCTCACTATAATAGTTAAAAACTAGATAATGTAAAGGCAATTTGCTGAAAATTTCATTCAAATTGATCCACTATGAACTGAGAACTAAGCGGTTGAAATTTCCGGCTAGCCTTGATAATCATTACTAAAGTCAGCACGATAAACAGTATAGTCTCGATTATCCATTTAATCGTTAAATTGCGAAGGAAATGTATTCAGTAAATCGGCTCACAATCCACTAAAGATCGCAGGCTAGCGATGCCATCTAGAGTTGATTATGGTCTGGATAGGTTAATTAATGTCTAATTAATAATTTAGATAACATTTCAAGGGTAAAGAAAGATTTGCAATAGACAGATTTAGCTCTTGCATAATGTATGTTTAATGAAGTTAATAAAATATAAATTATTTATATTTGTTATTATTCACATATATCTAATAATGTTATAAGCAAACAGTTTTTCTTACAATCTAAAAAGGAAATTTTAGCCATTAACATACTTTTTTGGGGGTTATGAAGAAACCTTGAGGTAATAAATATAATACATCAAAAAAGAAAATGTAAAGATAGAATATGACTAGGTGTTTGAAATGAGATAGTCATAGTAAGAGGTAATTGGAGGTAACTCTTAATAGCTTTAAGTTCCTTTAGTGTCGCTAGAGGTCGTGGAGAGTTCGGGGGAAAATGAATGTTTGCTTTACATCGTTGTTTTGATTGATATCGTTTGTTTATATCATTAATTGTACAAGATGTGAAGATTCATTAAAATTATAAAAATTCATCGTTTCGTCATTCTTCTGGGATAGTATCGAACACCAGGCCTATATAGCTCTGTTTAAATAGAAATTTGTAGATTCTAGACTAACCCCATAGTTTTTATTAGGTTCGGCGAAATATTATATCAAATAAAAACAAATTAGGTTTTCTAAAACATGTTCCGGGACTCATTCTTACTGAAAATGATTATTATTATAATTTGTGTAGGTCTGCGCAGATGATATCCTTTTATACGAACGACAAACTTACTGACAACTAATCGTATTGATACAAAATAGCTTACACGTTTAAACATTCATTTCGGATATATCTTGGTTATATTGTGCAAAGGAAGTTTTATTCTTATTTTATTCCAGTTCGGAGCAGAACAGTAGGACGTTAAACCCCATTGCATTTCATTTCTTATTTTATTCTGAAGCTCACACTCTTTTCTTCATGTTTTTTTTTTTTGGGGGGGGGGGGTTGGATGGCCGAATAGTTAGCACGTGCGTGATGTATCATAAGGCCTGTCATTGAGTCAACTGGCGTGGTTTCGAATTCCCGGTTGTACGTGACAAGGAGTAGGGTTTTCTCCGGGTCCTCCGGTTTCCTCCCACTGCTAAAGACCTCTACGCGCAAGCGAATTGTTGAAATAAAATTAAACCATGTGTTAGTTCCGAAATGACCTAGTTTGTGTCGAGTGGAATTTAAACCCCATTTTTCTCTCTCTCTCTCTCTTTTCATGATTTGGTTTAACCGGAAGTAAGTTGTGATACATCACTTTCGCGCATGCTATGTATAAACGACCAGTTGGGTTTTATTTCTAGTACAGTTCTATGGTTTTTCTTGACGGTTTTGTTTGCGTATAGTGCGGTTCTCCTACATTTACTACTATTATCGATAATTCAACTCGCTGGTTGAAATGACATGGGGTTTAACGTCCTACTGTTCTACAGTGTGCTATGAGGGAAATTTTGCCCGGATAGCAGCGCTATGGCTACTCTTATATCGAATTCCAACTGCCAAGGGATCTTTTACGTACACTCGCATGTGTACACGCGACCTCGGTTTTTGCGTTTCATCCGAACGACTAGACAACTGTCCTTGTCAGGCCCTCTGTCCTGCTCCACTGACAAGGGGAACCTAGCAGGAAAACCTCGATGAACTTTCTCGGCCAACACCGGGAGCGAACCCCCGACCTCCAGGCTAGCGAGCCAGCGTCTTATCCACTTAGTTGCGCTAACTGTGGTGTTGAGCACAATGAATGCAACATCACGTACTAACGGTTGAAATGAACAGGGCTGAACTATTCCAATATGTCTCTGAAATAAAATGAAATGGTGTCTTACTATTCTGCACCGACAGAGCTAAGGATGACGGTCGTACGCTATACAGTGTGCTATTAGGGAAATTTTACCCGGACAACAACGCAACGGTCTACTCTTATATCAGTGTTCTTTAACGTTATGTGCACACGGGACCTCGGGTTTTCGTCTCATCCGAACGACTAGACGCTGTTCTTATCAGACCTTCCGTCTGCACCACTGACACTGAAGATCCACGCCGGAATAGCAAAAGGAAATTTCACAGTCAACACAGGAAGCGAACCCGAGCCAGGGCCTTTAAAGTCTCCGTCTTCATTAGCCCAGTCGGAGCAGAACCGTAGGACGTTAAACAGCATTTCATTTCATTTAAAGTCTCTGACCGTCACGAAGCAAATTTCTTTGAAATAATATCATACTTACAAGAACCGAAGACATAACTAATTATCCAAGATTGAAGTACTATTATCCCCCAGTGTGGTTTTAACAAAACCACTAAATCTTTTAAATTATCCAAAATTCAAATACTATTATCCACGAGTGTTGTTTTTAAACACAAAAACTTCTCGAAAACTACCCAAACTTTTAAATTATCCAAAATCCTAGTAATATAAACGACCCGTAAATTGAAAGATGCATTGTCTGTGCCTGAGCGTTGACTTGGGTTGACTGATCTCAAATGTGCATACGCTCTAAGCTAAACATACTCAATGTCGCTATATACTTTACATCACGTTAACCAGGACCTTATTTGTTTATTAACCAAAGCGTTATAGTAATGATCTAATCGATTGGTGTTGTACTTGCTGTCTGTAATATACCACATAGTCTCAGCCATCCAGACCCGCCAATCTAGTAGCTAACTTTCGTTGCGCGAATAATTACAAACCAAGCCACTTAACCCATTTTGCAAGGGTAAGTAGGCTGTTCAAACAGGATGTTGTCACTGTTGTGATACTATCTACAGTTGATGGCTCAGAATATCTTCATTACCACATATGGGGGCACATTCCACGTGAAAATACATTGACATGTCATGTGACATTTGTTAGTAACGCATATGACATGCGAGCATTGCTATATATTATATATTTCAATGTATACAGTGGATATGCAATGGGGTTTAACTCGCTGCTTTTCTTCTGCAAACGGACTAATAAAGACGGACCTGCGCAGTACAGTGTGGGGTGATGAAGATTTTGTTCAGACTGCGGGGTATCGCCTATTACATGTACTCATCCAATTCCAAATGTCATGGATACTTTTACGTGTTTATTATTAATAGGGACCTTTCGCATCGGTACGAAAACGAACATGGGTGGCGTTAATTTCCACTTCATGAACTTCTCTGTCCAGGCAAAGTTTTCAATCGATTTTTTGGCAGATGTACAACAAATCAAGCAGAATATTGCATTTGAGCACATTCTAAACACTCTACACAATCAACAATATACACAAGACCTCGAAAAATTGTGGAAAATTTAATATATGAGACAAAAAAACATTTTCGTTTGCATACCTTTAATCCATCTCCACACGCGTAACGTTTTTCACCGGCCGAACACTAATTACGGGTTGACGTCACAAGTACACACGAATCTATGACTTTTTTGTTTTCGTATTCGTTTTCGTACTTATGCGAAAGGTCCCTAATGTCCTGGAGTAAATATAACACAGTTCCTGTTTGACACTCTCAGTGAGTAAGGCTTCCTCTGGGTAATCACCCAGTGATTAAAGTCTGAATCCGTCGCTACTACAGTGACTATAATTGGGTAGCTAAACATGATATGTGAATTTCCTCTATTAAGGTTAATACTCATGTAATGGGCCACTAATTTATATTATATAAACCTACGCCCAGTGCCAAATCGACAATGGGGCCTACTAGCTATAGGACACGGGCCGCAGACCCCACCATATCCTCTGGATTTTCCGGCGTGGTTTCTTCTTGTCAGTGGAGTATGTCTGTTTTCATTAGCCCGGGGGGTGTGGGGGGATCATCAGGTCTGTCATTGAGTCAAGTGGTGTGGTTTCGATTCACCGCTTCCGCCTGTCTCTCCCCTGACCTTCTTCGCCCATTTCTCTCTTTCAACTCTCTGTCCCTCTCCCCCTGCCTCGCCCTGTCTTTCTCCTCTGTCTCTCTCTATCAATACCCCCTGTCTCTCTCTCTGCCCTTCTCCCTTGTCTCTTTCTATCCTTTTCTCCCTGTCTCTCTCGGCCTTCCCCTTCCCCTTTCTCTCTTGCCTTCTCCCTTGTCTCTCTCTATCCTTTCCCCCCTGTCTCTCCCTGCCCTTCCCCCGTCTCTCTCTCTCTCTGTCCTCCCTCTGTCTCGCTCTGTCCTTCTCCCCCTGTCTTGCTCTGTCCTTCTCCCGCTGTCTCCCGCTGTCCTTCTCCCCTGTCTCTCTCCGCCCGTCCTTCTCCCCAGTAGGGGATCTAGTAGCTGTGAATGGGGGAGAGGGCCAAAATTAGGGCGCTATGCACAATCCCACTCCACAGGCTATAACCCTGTCTGAACGCCCCGGTGGAACATAGATCGTATTGCCTATATAGTTGTTCGCCGATGTTATCTCGCCGAAAAGTAGTTTTATTCAAGTGGACATAAAGTTCATGTCATTGATTGTTATTGATTTTGTTATTGATTTTTGTCAACCTTTGCGAAGTGGCCTCGACAGGAGGCGGGGGTTTCTGAGGGAGGGTTCTACCTCTGCGAAAATTTTGAAACTTTGAGTCAATATCCTCGCTTTTGAGGTCATTGCTGCACTGAAAAAAAACTTGTGTTGGATCTCAACAAAAGTACTTGTGTGAAAATTATTCTACACAAGTTATGTGTTGTTTTGCATTGCATTAACACAAACTTGTGTTCTTTTTAATGCATTAACACAAATCTTGTGTTTTTTCCATATAATTAACACAAGTAATGTGTACCGTCAACAAATATTTTTTTTTTTAAATTTGAACTCCATACAAAGTCTTAATCCGGGGGTCCACAAGTAAGAGAAAGGTATTTTTTACTCAGACAATATAGCCAGACAGACTTGAATGCTTATTGGTGTTAAGATGTCTGTAGTTAAAATAAAGTTGGGCCCAATAAACTGGTAGATCAAAGGCCTGTTGAGCGCTCATGCCCGGTGTGATTTTAACAATTGACTCCAAATGCGTTGACAAGAAAATAAGTAAAACTGTTTTTGAATGTGATTGGTTGATAAAATCAACGTACTATAGACTACATTTTTTCTGCGATATCATCTCGGTGGAAGCGGACATTAAATGAAGTGATTTCACACACTTAATTTAACATTTAACAACGTGCTGAAATGATTTTGGAGCAGTGATATGTTTGACAAATGTAAGCTAATGGTCACATAGAATACAAGACCGCAGGTTTGTGAATATTTATATAAAAAAAATAATACCATGTATGTAATTTAGCATCGATATTGTTTCTCTGTATAATATTAGTATTTCGTTTCCTTAAAAAAAAAACCCAACAATTTAAACCGGAAGTTCATGTTTATAATATGGCGCGGTCAGGAAAAAAATTTCGGCATGTTATTATCAAATCTGTTCAATTTTTCTGAAATCATGCTTAATTAACATTAGTTGTTCGGCGCTACGATGTTGTTCAAATACTTACATTACAGAATCACATTATGATTAAAGCAGAAACGGTTCGACTTGAACCAGCAGGTAAGAATCTGTTTTGAAATTATATCTTGGGAGGTTGGATTGGCGTTGGAGACCCGATTGGCGGCCATTTTGATTCTTGTTTCATGATTTTTTTTTTATATTATAACGATTTTGTCAAGAGTAGACATAAACGCGGGCACAGACTAGAAAAAAATCTTTTTACACTTTTGTGTTAGTTGAATTGTAATCTAATTTATGTTTAAAAAAACAACCTTAAATCTAATAAGCAGACGGAAGATATGGACGAACAACAAGAAGAAGTTATGGAGGTTCCAACAACTGAACCTATGGAAGTAGAAGAATCGTTTACAGCCGAAACCCGATACGATGTGCCAGTTCCGGTTATGGAGTCCTCCATCTCAGACGATGCCGACGTTAGTGTCTTCTGCGACGAAGAACCCGTAGTGGCGTATCACTATAAACCTCAGAATGCCTCGTTCGGCATTTCTGTCCAAACGAGGCAAAAACGTGTTAAAATTTTTGCCCCGATTTTGCCTCGCTGTAACGAGGTAAAAAAAATACGTCGTTTCTCTGGAGTTCCAAAACGTGTTTTTTTTTTTAAATTGCCCTGTTTTTGGAACGAGGTATTTTGTTCAGAACGAGGCTGGGTAAAATTGCCTCGTTTACTAAACGAGGTATTTTATCCAAGATAATTATTAGCGGTATTTGCTGTCAACAAATAGAGCCATACAAATAATGTTCGGACCATCATGTGACCAATTGCAGATCTACAAATTAGATTATTTATTTGGGACATGATATTGTTCATAGTTATGGCTTACTACACTGGAGTTCTATTATGTATAATAAACGCTTCCCGAGCGAAACAAAACATAACAATGTCACGTGACAATATTACATATGGCGGATACAAGCGTTCTTTGATTACATGCTGTTTGGTTTGATTATTAAATAATACGGCAATCTGTATATATGGGAAAAGGAGAATGAATTTCCCCAAATCCAAAACTAGATGACTGGAATATTTATTGAATCCTAGCTTGGATGGATTTGTGATTTGAATCTCGAACTCAGTGTTTTATACATTTTATTATAAAATTGTAATAAATGTTTTACATGAATGAATAAAATCTACAATTTAAAACAGTACAATAACATTGTGATTTGACGCTCTACAAATCACTAAGAGTATAACAATTGCTTGTTGAAAAAGCGTTAATAATATGTTTTTTTCCATTTATTATTTTTTAAAAATATATTCAAAAAGAATGCGTCTTTTACAGATTTCAATATAACCACAAATGGTTGATTGTTTTAATGCTAAGATAAGTATTAATGGTTTGTATTTGAAAATCAAATTATATAAGCGAAAAATAGTAAGATACATTATGTATATCTTAAAACACTCCCTTCTCAGTTACTACTTCGGCGAATATCATTTGATAATGTAGATGATCAGAATTAAACACCGTTTTGCTATGTTATTATTTTTTTATGATTGGGTGGGGGTATACTTAATTAGGGGATTGGATTGAAAGATTATAGCTACCATCTTATGGAGACATAATGTGTGGTGTATTTACGGTCTTATAAAGCTCTATTCTTACATAAAGAATTCTTGATTCGCACGGAAGTGTTTTAGCCGTGATCATTTTAAGTCATGCTTATGCCAAGATCTGGGTAAGTGTTAATTTAACTAGATATCAGAAAAGTACCACGTTTTCATAAATGTACTCTTTAGATAAATTGTACAATATTTATCAGTTCACTAGTTACAATAAAATCATGCATTATAGCTATTTTTATTTATTTATCCCTGGTGCTTCAAATTCAATTTAGGGTGCCTCAACATATTTAAAAATATGTTTTAAAGCTTTAGGTCATTTTATTATATCTTTCTACCATAAATAATAGCCCGAATTTAGGTATACCAAAAGTTAAAGAAATATAAACAGTTTTTGAGTCATTCAGATATGACTGCCAAAATTGTCACCAACACACATGTCGTGTTTAGGCTAAAATCTAACCAGAAAAGTATTGTCAATACATAATAAAATATATATTGCATTAATCAATTCCATTCCGCAATTGGTTTGTCTTAAACTCGTCATTTGTGTTCACCAACACACATGTCGTGTTTAGGCTA